CACCTGCTCCAGAGCCTTAGGGAAGGCTTGACTTCCTCTCTGATGAGCTAGCACACTGAAGGGGGCTGAAAGGGCCAAGACAGGTGCATGGCAGAATGCACTTGCCCTTATAGAGCTCAGGAGAGCCACTCCTTGTATTTTTCTTCTAAGAGGCCAAGAATAAACTCTTACCCTCAGAGATGTCAGTGGATAAGCCTCTGGGTGACATGCACCTCATGAGCCTTTGCAGGTGAAAATACAGGATCAAAGAGTTATCTGGGCTTCTCAAAGGGAGAAGAGATTCGCATAATGATTGTCCCCAAATCACAAAGGGTCCTTCTCATCTAGGGGTCCAGGCAGCATTAAATAAGACCATGGAGCTGGCCTTCCCCATCAACAAACAAGTCAGTTTCCAGGGAACTGGGTGTTAGATGAGCATGTCCCGCTTACCAAGAAACCAAATTGTCAGTTCTTCCTGGCGTGTTTCAAAAGTAGGTTTTAAAACTGTATCTACCATCCGCTTGGAAGTGTAGTTTCTACAAGAATTGTAGAAATCTTTCAGAAGTGCTTGTCAAAATTTGGATGCAATTCAAGGTCACTGTATATAGAAGCACTATACCCACTGATGTCATATGGAATTCTTCCACTTGGAAAAAAGCCAGAGAGCACCACAAGGGTGCAAGATGTCAGGGACTGCTTTTGATATGTTTTGAAACATAGGAGCTTTGATTCTAATGTCTGTGTCATATGCTAAACACATGTGCCCTTAACTAAATATCACAAAAACCTACCATAAATTGTCAACCTTAATGGTTTCCTCATTTCAAAACACATTTGTTTTGTAAGTTAATGCGCTAAGGCCAATATTTTAAGGTGACTACACAGGGTTTAAATGAAAAACATATCAGATATATATGTCTATACAATTACATACACGTACACACACTCCCACATAATTACAATTTCTCTGTTATTTTCAGTCAGAAAGAAAGGCAAGGAATTTTGTACACATTTGAGACCAGTGCTTTGCTACCATTGACACCTTTAGGTATTTTAAGGCTCTCATCCCCACTTTACCAAATCAGAAGGACAAAATTAGGTGAAATTAAACTTTTCCAAACATTTTTCTGTGTGTGTGTGTGTGTGTGTGTGTGTGTGTGTGTTTCCAAAAGTTTTCTTCAGAGGAAGAGGCCGTATAGAGACTTTATGGCCTCTACAAAGACGAGAGGTGATATTGAAAATTATTTGAAAGTTGGTGTTTGCTTTTAGAATTTCCTTTATTTTCAAGTTTATGATCCATGTTCTTTCATTCCAAGACCAGCTCATACTCCTAACATCTCCTTCTAGGGACAGAAATTTCCAGGATAACACATCTTCCTAGTATCCCCAGGAAGAGGCCAAAGAGAGGAAAAAAGGCAGCCTAGAGGGTGGTGGGGGACAGGGAAACAGAGGCAGGGCCTGCAAATATTCTTTCCTCATCTCAGCTGGGAATGAGCTCTCAGCTTCTGCCTCCACTCAGCCTCCTGTGCGAGCTAACAGAGATAATGAGTGTCACTTAAGACACATCTCTGGCAACATGTTGGTTGTTTCAAAAAGTAAAATAGGCATGGGGTACCTGGGTGGCTCAGTCAGTTGAGTGTCTGACTCGTGGTTTCTGCTCAGGTTGTAATCTCATGGTTTGTGAGTTTGAGCCCCACATTGGGCTCTGGGCTGACAGTGCAGAGCCCGTTTGGGATTCTCTCTCTCTCTCCCTCTCTTTCTGCCCTTGCTGCTCGCTCTCTCTCTCTCTCTCTCTCTCTCTCTCTCAAAGTAAATAAATAAAAACTTTTTTAAAAAGAAGCACAATAGGATAAAATTTTGTAGAAATACCCTTTTTCTTTATTTCCCCCCTAAAATGTTATGATAGCAAATACAAGGGACTTGTAGAGAAAAACAGTAGTATATGAAATCATTTTGTAAATCTTTTTTAAAATTTATTTTAATGTTTATTTTATTATTTTTGAGAGACAGAGAGACATAGAATCTGAAACAGGCTCCAGGTTCTGAGCTGTCAGCACAGAGCCCAATGCGGGGCTCAAACTCTCAAACTGTGAGCTCATGACCTGAGTCAAAGTCAGACATTTAACTGACTGAGTCAACCAGGTGCCCCAAAATCATTTAGTAAATCTTTTAGCCTATATGTTAAATAAACTGACACAGTAGAATATTCACAAGAAACAGATTTTAAAATGTCCTACGTGTATAAGTGCCTGTCTTTATTATCATTGCTAAATATAAAGCAGTAGCATAATAGTATAATTTAATATAATATGATGTATACTTACATAAAATATAATAATGTGCTCAGTGGAAATGTAAATGATCATGTTTCCACTAGAATACAAATGCATTCCAGTAGATATTTAATATATTTTATTTCATGCCATATTTAAAAAAAATTTTTTTTCAACGTTTATGTATTTTTGGGACAGAGAGAGACAGAGCATGAACGGGGGAGGGGCAGAGAGAGAGGGAGACACAGAATCGGAAACAGGCTCCAGACTCTGAGCCATTAGCCCAGAGCCCGACGCGGGGCTCGAACTCACGGACCGCGAGATCGTGACCTGGCTGAAGTCGGACGCTTAACCGACTGCGCCACCCAGGTGCCCCCATGCCATATTTTAAATAAGTTTCTGACTTTCCTAACTGAAGGAATATTTATGTAATAACAAAAGCTCTTACCAGTGCTTCACTCAGAGCAGAAAATAACAAGATTTATGTATTGAAATGTCATTCTATTTTTAAATTTTAACATTTGACAGATTACCATGCGTTAAGGAAACAAAGAATACTTCAATCCCCAAATTTAGTATGGTTATTGACACTGTCAAGGGGTGTTAGAGGATTGGATTCAGTTCTGAGTCAGACCAAGCCAGAACCTTGATCAAAGTATCTCAGCTGAGCTCAGCTGCACGTTTACATAGTACCTTCAGATGCAGTCTCTTCCTGGACTCTCATGGTTACCCTAACAGAGAAAGGGGGGAGCCAAGCTGTCCTTTAGAGGTAATATTTAGTGCCATGGGTCTCCAATCATCTTTGGAGAAGGCAAAAGGGCATCTGCCTCACTGCACAGAAGCATCAGTAGGTGTTGTCACTCCCAAGTTCGACGGCAGAGACCAAAAACTCAAAATGAGAAGCTGACACAGAGCAATTACAACTTCTCTCACTAATGACCTGGAAGCATTTGAAAAGCTAAGTAGATATGCCTCCAAGGAAATATTTTTTCTTTAGAGTAATATCCTTCATTCATTCTCAGTTCATTACATGTTTTTTGTTTTGTTTTTTAATGTTTATTTTTGAGAAAGAGAGAGAGAGACAGAATATGAGTGGGGAAGGGAAGAGAGAGAGACACACAGAATCTGAAGCAGGGTCTAAGCTTTGAGCTGTCAGCACAGAGCCCGATGCAGGGCTCAAACTCATGAACCGTGAGATCATGACCTGAGCTGAAGTCAGACACTTGAGCTTGACCGACTGAGCCACCCAGGCACCCCTGCAGTTCATTAGATGTTATAATGCTCCTTGTGTGTGGCACACCTACTTTCTGTGCCAGTAATTTGGCAGGGAATGAGACAAACAACCTGCCTTCAGGGAAACTTACACTTCCATGGGATACACAGAACAGTAAATGAACAAGATGGCTTCAAACAGTGATAAATGCTATGGAGGAAATATTCAAGGGGATGTGATAGTGATGGAGAAGGGGAGACAGGATTGTTCTTTGTTTAGGTGGTCAAGACCAGGTGACGTGAGACTTGAGTGGAGGCCTTAAGAATGAGCCATCTTGGGGTGCCTGGGTGGCTCAGTCGGTGAAGCTTCTGACACTTGATTTCAGCTCAGGTCATAATCTCATGGTTGTGAGATCGAGCGCTGTGTCAGGCTGTGCACTGGGTGTGGCGACTGCCTAAGATTCTCCTTCTCCTTCTCTCTCTGCCCCTCCCCTGCTCGCTCTCTCTTTCTTTCTTTCTCTCTCTCAATAGATAGGTAAATAAATCAAGAAATTTAAAAAAGAGAGAGAGAGAGAAAATGAGCCATCTTGACAGAGCCAGGAGCTAGAAGCAGGAATGAGCTGAAATAGGGCAGAACAGTGTGGCTGGCGGAAGGCAACAAAGAAGGAGGCAGAAGCTACCATCAGGTCATGAAGGGCCTCACAGGCCACAGAAAGAAGGAAGAGCTTGTTTTAAGTGCAGAGACAAGCCATCAGAGTGTTTTTTGAGAAGGAAAGGAATATGATCTGTTTCGTGGTTTTAATGACTTTTTAAAAAATGTTTTTATTTATTTTAGAGACAGTGTGAGTTGGGGAGGGGCAGAGAGAGAGGGAGACAGAGGATCTGAAGCGGGCTCTGTGCTGACAGCAGTGAACCCAATGCAGGGCTCGAACTCAGGAAATGAGAGATCATGTCCTGAGCCCAAGTCAGATGTTTAACCAACTGCACCACCTAGGCACCCCTGGTTCATGGTTTTAAAATACCACTCTGCCTGCTAGGTAACAGAAGGGCCAAGATGGAAGAGGCAAGGCCATTGAGGAGATTAACAGCCCAGGCAAGAGATGATGGTGGTCTGCCCTGGTGAAGCAGAAGGAGAAAAACAGCTGGAATCAAAAATATGTTTTGAAGAGAGAAGGCATCAGCACATGGGTAGTGGTGAAAACCATGGGACTGAATAAGTACACCCAGGGAAGAGATGTCTAAAGTAGGGAAGAGGGCTCTGGACCAAACTCTGACTTTCGTACAGAAAACAAAGCAGCAAAGGAACATGGGAGTTGATACCAGAGAAGCAGGAGATAATCCACAAAGTTTATCTACATGTTCAAATTAGTGTGAGTTCCCCAGAAAGTCCATAGGTGAAGATAAATAACTATATATTCTTTAGACACCACTGCTCTTCTAGCATGTTTGGAAAAAAAAAATTCACCTTTACCAAAGTCACTTACCTATAAATACATTTTTTTAGAAGCTTCTATGTTACTTACTTTAAAATCTTACCTTTGCTCCAGTGTCCCCCACTCCACGTAAACCCATTGGTCCAGGGGGTCCCGGTAGTCCCCGAGGTCCCTGAGATGACATAATAAAGGAGAGAGTGAGTGTACTTGTCATGTGCAGTGTTCATCAAAGAAGAAAGGAAGGAAGGGAGGGAGGAAGGAAAGAAGGAAGGGGGGGAGGATGGAAGGAAGGAAGGAGGGAAGAGAGAGGAAATGAAGGAAATAACAGTGATGTCCACACTTACAGCCACACCAGGATAGCCATCACCTTTGAGTCCTGGAGCACCCACTGGTCCCCGAGGTCCTTGCGCACCCTGGGTAAATTCCAACACCAGGTCATAATGTTAGACTAAACTATGAAACACCTGGCAAAACTTAAGCACAATACCAACTCTATATGGCAAACATGCATTTGATAACGCAAAGGAATGATCTGAAAAATTTTAGAAGGGAATTCTACCACAGATGGCAACTTGTTATAAGTCTCTCTTCATAAGTCTTACCCATTTGCATTTGGTGGGAAGCGTGGAGTGAATACGGGGAATATATGTGAACCATTACAAAGTCCTCTATAGGAAACACATTTCATAGGAATTAAAAATGGCCGATTGTTGATAGGTTAATTTTTAAATTTATACTTTTCTGCATCATAAATTGTGGAGAAGTATAAAAATGAGAAATTTTAATAAGCACAGTGTGAGAAGAGAAGGAAAGAATACATAGCTATATTTCAAGTGTAAAATTTTGAATGTAAAGTAAGATAACTATGTGCTACCTATTGTTAAACTATATCCATTGTCCTCTTCATTGGTGCCCAAATTACACAAGGAATAAATAAGCCAAAATGAGAATTAAATACAGATTAATTTTTTTAAAAAACAAGTTGTAAACATATAGGATACAGAGTTTGTGTTGTGATTCATATCTCAAGACCGAGGAAGAAGTTCTATATATTGCTTTACATGATAACCTTTGGCATCAAAAACTTTTGGTAGCTACAATTGGCCTCCTCTATAGAGGAAAGTGTGATTACTGCCTTTTGAATGACAGGATTTTCGGGAAAGTGTAACTCTCCTTCGAATGGAAATCAAAGAAATTTCTGGCTCAAGTGAAATGGAGAGAGAGGAAGAAAAAAATGAGGAAAACTCTTAGAAGATTCAGTAAATATAAACCTATTACACTGTATTTAAAACGTGTATTTTTTTTTTGTATCACATTCCATTCTGTTGCTGTGATAACTCTTACAATGACCCTTTCAACGCATATCTACTATTTTGATTAAAAACTGTCCATATTCCTATGGGTTTTACATTAGAAAGAAACTAGTAATTGGCAGACCTTTGTTTCCCAAGATTGGAAAAAGTAGCAGGACTCTCAGTGCTTTCCTTATATGCAAGGATCTCAAATTCTGAGATCAAACTACCATTATCCCAAGCCAAATGCTGCCCACAATCCAACTCTCAAAAGCTGTTCCTAATTCTACTTCTATGAATGAATGATTGACTGGGGGGAAGAAAATTACATACTCTTTAAGTATAAAAAAGTTAAGTTTATTTCGAAAATCATGAATACAATAGCTGTTTTTTCCTATTAAATTGAGACTGGTTTTATGGGATTAACCTTCTTAAGAGTGATCTCTAGGAAACGTGTGGCCACTTGTAAGAACTTAATCTACTATTTATCATGAACACAACCCCAGGATGATCTCTTCAAGTTATGTGACAGAGAGCAAAAACAAGTTCTTCTGGAGAGGTGAATTTTGGCATATCCCCAGCTCTAAGGAACTAAATAGTCACTAGAAGCAATTTATTGTGTTAATCCAACCAAATTTAATGTTAAAGTGCCAAACATTACATAAAGACATGTCCCCAAACAATATATCCGTTTCTTTCCATGCCTACACAAGGAACAGGCCAACGACAGAAGAAAATAGTAACTGCTCCCTGGTTAAGTTGAAAGGAAAAGAAAACTAGAATCAAGATTCACTTTCAGGTTTTATTTCTAAATTTCAAGACTATAACAGATTATCAACAGCTGTTACTGTTTATCCTCTGGCACCCACATGGGGAGAAAAAAAATGTTAAAACATTTATAGCTTACAACTAAACATTTTTTACCTAGAGATCCTTGTGCTGCTTCCTGCAAAATTTTCAGCTAGCTTGTTACTTCTAATTTTAATAGGAAATATCAGGGGGCAGGGATAGGGGCACTGTTTTGTCTCAGATTTTTATTCTGGACTCCTCACAATATATTTCTAGAGAGAATTTTTGTCACTTGGCCTTTATGTGCTGGATTCAAGAAAATGTCCTGCAGAGCAATTCCCTTTGAAGCGTCTCTCGTTCAATAGAAATTAGGGCAGAAATATCAATCTGGTGTTTTGCAATGGGCTTTAGGGGAGGATCTGGAGCTCCCTGAAGTCATATACAAAACTGAATTATGTGCCAAAACTTCTATCAGACGTTTAACCTCTCAAAGGTTTAAAAAATAGCGCATTAGGGGAGAATGGCAGAAAGAGTATCATTAGAGACCAAGGGATTAGAAAAATCATGGAGTAAAGAAGCAAATAACTTTAACTACATCATTAGCAATGCCAATGGCGATCAGTAAAAAAACAGGAGGGGCTAGTAAATCCAGGCTGCACATTTAATTGGATTTTATTTCTACTGTAAAGGACAATATAAGTAGAGAGACATAATTTTAAATCATGGAACTAGGAATATGCAGATTCAGGAAGTTATCAAACAATATGAAAACTGCTACCCAATGTTCTTGATCAAAGCCCTATCTGCAGTATTAGCATTAGAAAATTTGGAATTTTCTCCTTGTGTCGTATGGAGCTTGGGTTCCCATGTACCTCAGTGTCTGGGGAGTAGGATGACCATCTTGTTCTGGTTTGCCCTGGACTTTTCTCTGTTTTAGCTTGAAAATCCCACATCCTGGGAACCTTCTGTGTCCTCAATAAACCAGAAGATTGCCTCTCTAGCAAGGACAACTGTTAAAGTGATTAAGAACAATGGAGTTCAGGATCTTCCCTTGACCTTTAAAAGGACCACTCCAACTTAATTGCAGTATATAATAAGTTTTGCATTATATTTCAAAAATGGTTCTTAGTTTTCTTTTTTGAAGTTTGAAAATCCCTGATGTTAGTACTTGAATCCTTGTATCCACAAGAGGCAATCTGATAGAACTAAAACCAGTTTCAAAACCACATAACAACATGCTACTGATTTAATGAAGTGCTGATTATGGAGCCCTGAAGCCTGTTCTCATAAACGGGGATGGGATGTGCTTGTGACATTTGGAATGTTAAATTTTGCTGCGATGCTGGGTTTTGTGTGAACAGGGAAATGGTGCCTTGTTGCCATGGAAAATAGATATGATTACTGAAAGCCGTCTTCTCCTATAATTATTTGCATTTTCATTTAAAATAACTGAAAGATGGAGAACGAAGCAGAGAAATTTAATTCAATAAAGCTTCCAAACATGAACTTTCAGTATCTCTTCTGCAAAACGCTGTCCAAAAAGTTCAAGTTTGGAAGATTTATTGAGTTAAATTTCTCTGCTTTGTTTTCCACAGTGGTGGTTTGCAGAAGAGACACCTAGGCCATTCATATGTAAATGAAAGAAGCTAGAGGTCATATAATCTCTTGTACCACAGATATTACAAAAGGAGTATTTTCAAACAACTATTGAGTCATCCAAAATTTCACCATAAGGGGCTATCATTCCTCCACATTTATGAAAAATAAATTATCTGATGGCTTGATTTTTAAAAACGAAAACAATGCACTGAGTTCTTCAATGTAGACAGTGAGTAGAACAGTCTCAACTATAAACTTACTGTGCATTAAATCCCCTTTCCCTTCTGTCTCGCAGAGGGAAGAAAGAACGTGAATAAAGCCTACCTTTGGTCCTCGAATAGCAATTCCCGGTTCTCCTTTAAATCCAGGCATCCCGGGTCCTCCCCTGTCTCCCTGCATATTTCAAATAACGTTCAGTTTCAGGCTTTAAGTAGCAGGAGAAGCCATAATAGCACGAAGCACAAAAGAGATGAACCAGTTTATAAAGGCTTTGATCTATCAGTCTCTGATCTTGAGGTAGTGGCTTCTTCTAATGTATTTGAGGGGGATTGCAAATCCTAAGCAAATCAAAACTGTTGGAAAAGACTATGACAGCTGTTTAGAGGAAGGCCACTAAAATAGGTGGCTACCTAGACTCAAATACTTGGACTGTAAGAATAGGAACCTCTTAAATCTGAGTAGATTTCTTTCCTGCCAGACTTTCTGATTATTAATCCTACCTGATTCTTCTGAATAAACACAGCACATTTTTACTTGCATTAGGGTTCCAGGATTTGGTGGAGGTAGTTCATGATGAAGTGACAAGTTCAAGAGCAGAAGCTAGAAATCTGTTTTCAAATCTTAAATTTCCTGCTAGACCTTAGTTTGCTTAGTTGTGAACTGTCAGGGTTGAACTAGATAATATCTTGGGGTTCTTCCAAAACTAAAATTCTAGTCCATTGGTATCATGAATTTTTTTCCCCACCCCACCTGCCAAAGATCCAAGTTTAAAATATGTATATATAAAAAATAAGTATTCTCAAGAATGCATACCTTTGGCCCAGGTGGTCCAGGAATTGATGCTCCGGGCATCCCAAAAGGGCCCATAATTCCTGGTTCACCCTAAAAAAAAAAGAGCAAAATACTTACTACATTGCAAGCAAAGAAATCATATATAGGAATTATATTAGGAAAAATAGAAATGTATTCCCAGCATTTTAAAATATTATGACCTATTTCCCAGACCAATGTGAAAATATTTGAGCATCTTTGTAAACCACTACTAAAGTTTTTAATGATTAAGATTTCAGTGCCTTTAATAAATGCATTCAGTTAACTTCTGAGTATTAGGAAATTTTTATCTCTTGTGTATTCTTTTATTTGCCAATAAAAATTATGCAATTCACGGTGCTTCCATTCTGTATTGTGTGCCAGGAAGCTCAGAGGGAACTATGTGTTCAATTATAAGAACTTTCTCCAGCATAAGTTCTTGGGTACACTTGGCAGACAAATAATGTTCCTTTTAGTTTATAACTTTTTCCTTTGTTATTTTATTTTATTTTATGGCCCATGGTGTATCAGTCTTCTATTGTATGCTATCTCACATCCTTCTTCAGAAGTAGGGAGTTTATGGTAAAAACAATGGAATTTTTAATAGGAAATTTCAAACATGTCTTTTATTTACTTATTTATTTAATTTTTTTGGCATCTCAATATTGACTCTCAATAAAAACCCAAGCAATATCTCTGTCCCACCTGGTTCTAGACCAGGATTCTCAAATTTTAGTGTAGAGAAATCATAAGAGGAATTTGGTAAAATATAGTCAGGTCTCAGCCCCAGAAACTTTAATTCGGTAGCTCTAGGGGCTGGGCCCAGCAATATGAATTTTATGAGGCACTTCTGGTGGTTCTGATATAGGTACAAATACCTCACTTAAAAACACCATCAGGGAGCCTGGGTGGCTCAGTCGGTTAAGCATCCAACTCTTGATTCTGACTCAGGTCATGATCTTGTGGTTCGTGAGATCTGGTCCTGTGATAGGCTTTGTGCTGACAGCACGGAGCCTGCTTAGGATTCTCTCTCTCCCTCTTTCTCTGTCCCTCCCTGATGTGTGAAAGCCCTCCCCCTCCCCAAAATAAATAAATAAACCTTAAAAAAAATTTGAGAACACTATGCAAAGTAATTGTCATTAAAAGAACATGACATGTCCAAAATGACCCATTTGGGATACTAGAAGAAAATATTAAAGCTTCATGATATATTTTTATCTCATCTTTTAGATTTTCAATTATATATGTAAATATCATAACAATATGATAGTTTATGAATAAAACTTACAATTAAAAAAGAAACCTATATTGAGGTGTGGTCGAATTCATTTTTGCTAGTAGGGATTTATAATCAATCAGTTTGGAAACTACTGATGTAGGATAGGTGTGGCAAACTGCGACCTTCAGGCCAAATCCTGCCTGCTGCCATGTTTTACACAGCCATTGGCTAAAAATGGTTTTCATATTTTGTTTGGTTTCTGTAAGTCGGCTCCACACCCAACATGAGAGTTGAGCTCATGACCTCGGGATCAGGAATCACACGTTCTATCAGGCATCCCAGTTTTCACATTTTCAAATGATTGTTATATAAGTGATTATGTAATATCCTCAATTTTGCCTCTTGGCCACAAGGCCTAAATTATTTACTACTTATACTTTTCCAAGAAATTTGCCTCCCCTTGCCTTAGAGATTGAACTGTTTCCAAGTGCATGAGCTGCCCACTTGGCCCCCATGTTTCCTCCAAGAGGGACTCCATCAATCAGATTCACCACTAAGACTCTTGCCCTAGACCACATTCATCTTCAGAGCTGAGACCCTCCCACTGTGCTGATTACCCTGTACGACCCACAGGCTGAGCACACCAGCCAACCAGGGCCCAGATCGTGCCAACACATCACACACCAGTCTTTAATTCCGAACCTATAAGGCAATGGCGCATGACACAGTGAGGATTTTGGCAACAGACAACCACCCTGTTCAATCCTATGGCCAAGGATAAAACATCAACTCATTAAAATTCTCACTTAAACCAGAGTAAACAAGATTATGCTTCTAGATTTAATCTATTCTTTTAAAATAAGAAATTATACATATAGTATAGAATTCTCTTAAAGACTGTATTAAATTGTGATTATGCTTTAAAAAATAGCAATTCTTCATCAAAAAAGCTTTATTTCAAAATACAGAAAAAATACTTTGAATAAGAGTAAGATATAAGGAATAACCATTATTATTAATACTAATACAACATTTTCCCTACATGGCGGCATTTCTCATCAGGTGCTTCTTGAATTACCTGGAGCATAGGGCACTTATTTACAAAACACAGATGGCTAGGACCCACCCACCTATTAAGTCACGCTATCCAGGCATGGCACCAAGAAATATAATTAAAAAAAATTTTTTTAACATTTATTCATTTTTGAGATTGAGAGAGGCAGAGCATGAGCTGGGAAGGGGCAGAGAGAGAGACACAGAATCTGAAGCAGGCTCCAGGCTCTGAGCTGTCAGCACAGAGCTTGATGCAGGGCTCGAACTCACAGACCATGAAATCATGACCTGAGCTGAAGTCGGACGCCCAACTGACTGAGCCACCCAGATGCCGCAAGAAATATGGATTTGTAAGAAGCTCCCAGGTGACACTGATGGACACTGAAGCTTAATAACTGGTCTACAGAGAATGCTTTATTTTCTACCTGCTCGTATGTGGCTGATACCATTTTTTTCCCTTTTAGTTGTTTTTTTAAATATCTGGTCCCTGATCATGCTCCTTGTCTCCTTACAAGTAGCATCTTCCTAGAAGCCTGAACTCTCTTAGGTTTGCAATTTCTGTTTCCTGACACATCCAAATGACCTCAATATTCTCTCCTGCTAAGTCAGGACACATACCTAATTGCCTCCCTCACAATTTCCTTTTCTTCATCCTCAGCACCCTGTCCTGGTCACTTTATCAGGACATATATCTCCCACTTTCCATTTCACAGTATTGATTTTTTACTCTCTGAATAGCTGCACGTACTATGTGCCAGGAACAGTGCTAAGTGCTTTATTAACTCTTTCAATCTTCACAGCAATCTTAGAATAGGTACTATTTTTACTTTCTTTCTGTGATTGAAGTGACGGGCCCAGAAAGGTTCGGGGTGGGGCAGGATGAAAATCCTACTCTACCGCATTCTGAAGCCCCACTCCTCATCATCACTGTGCTGCCTTAGTCTGGAATTGTGCTGTTGTTTAGCAAAAAAGGATGGTAGAGAACTGGTATCTCCTACAGTCATAACTTCATCCCAACTTCTGAATATTTGGTGGTAAGTTGAAAGAAATGACAAACAGATTGTCTCTAAGAATCATAAATGTTCCAGTGAAGATGACATAGTTTGTGGACTCTTTACTCCATCCTGTTTGGTCTGGAATAGTATGCTTATTCTAAAGCCTTTTTCATTTGGGAGTTTTGTTTTGTATTTGTTGAGTAGGAACCAGGGAATCCAATTTGCAGTGGAAATCTATTCTATTAAAACCAGACACAATTTCAATCTCCCGAGAGCACAAATGAGAATATAAGAAACATACCTTCGGCCCTTCAGGCCCTGGAAATCCCCTCTGTCCTTGATTTCCTTTGCTCCCTTTCTTCCCTTCATCACCCTGATGAAATAATTATAAAAAGACAGTTGTGTTAACAAACCGTCCTCACTCTTCTAACAACCCTATCAGGACCCTGTTATCAACTGACACTGATTTCCTAGCAATGTGCCCCAAGTCCTGCTGGGTGGCATGGGATTTGTCAATGTTCTTGAGCAGATAGGGTGACTTCAGAATTGTTCAGTCTTCACCATTTATTCAATGTGATTTAATATTTTTAACAATCTAAGCTCAGTATCTGTCTTTGGGGACTTCAGTTTGAATTCACAATTCTTTTCACCGTTGGTTTATTAACAGATGCTTCTGAGACATTCACAGTTTCAGAAAAGAGAGCTACCTATGCTTTTTCAGCTTTAATGCCACTTCAGTGTTGAAACGTAAAATGAGATGTTTTCCAATATGGAGAGCAAACTAGCGGTTGCCAGAAGGGAGTTGGGTGGAAGAATGGGTGACATAGGTAAAGGGGATGAACAGTACACTTATCCTGAGCACTGAGAAATGTATGGAATTGTTGAATCATTATATTTCACACCTGAAACTAACAAAACACTGTATGTTAATTATAGTTGAATGGAAAAAAATCTAATTTTAAAAAGAAGTGGCAACAAGGTAGTGAAGCATGAAATAGCTACACAAAATGTTACCACTGAAGGAAACCATATTTTTCAAATCCAGCCCCATTTCTTCCTCAATGAGGAGTCTAGCTCTATCTCCCGAAGGAGACCAATAATTCTATTGGTAGAAGGATCCATGAGCATTAAACTGGAGCAGAGTTAGAAACTGCCTACTGGCTGTTCCTCAGCCTGCTTGTGTAACCTTATGCTTCTCTGAAAGAATTTTGTGACCTCCAACCAGAGAGTTCAGAGAATTAATTACAAAGCAATCCTTAAACTAGGGCTCAGTTGCAAGGTATCATATCTAAAGTTTTTTTTTTTTTTTTAACGTTTATTTATTATTATTTTTGGGACAGAGAGAGACAGAGCATGAACGGGGGAGGGGCAGAGAGAGGGAGACACAGAATCGGAAACAGGCTCCAGGCTCCGAGCCATCAGCCCAGAGCCCGACGCGGGCTCGAACTCACGGACCGCGAGACTGTGACCTGGCTGAAGTCGGACGCTTAACCGACTGCGCCACCCAGGCGCCCCAAGGTATCATATCTAAATGTGTGCTCAGCTCAACAAAGGAATGAATTTGGGGGTTGCAGGTGAAACCATTTAATCATTTATCAGATATGATTATACCACAGTTTTCAAACCTAAGCGTGCATCAGAGTCATGTGGAGGGCTTGTCACCCCACGTGGAGGGTTTGTGCTGAGCCCCACATCCACAGTTTCTGATTTAGTAGGTGTGCATTGAAACCCAAGAATTCACATTTCTGACACATTCCCAAGGTCATCAGCAATGCAGACACTCCGTTAAGAAGAGGTGAACTCCTATTACACCCACAGATTGTAATTAACTCCCCAAGGTCCAAACTAATAAAGAGCAGTGACACGGGTGATAAAAAATAACAGTTGACTGTTATTGTACCATGAACTTACTGTATCATTATCATTTGACAATGGAGGCAAAATCTAACCCCAACTAGTTATTTTCTTCCATTCACTCCCACGTTTAATTTACTGACCTAAATAACCCAGAAGATGGCAATAGGAACCCAATTAAAGGTAATAAAGTGCCAACACTGAACAAGAGCATGCCTGGGCTGTGTGATATATTCCTACCACTCTTCTCCATCACCCTCCATAAACCACAAAACCCCTCAGAGCTACAAATCCCGAGCCCTCTTTTTCCAAAGCATTGTCCTTACTCTATTGGTAGCATTCAACACCACCAATTGCTTTCCTCTTGAAACCCCCTCTCCTTGGTTTCCCTAACATGATAGCTATTCTGCTTATCTTCACACTATTGTGAATGTTCTTTTCCAGCTACACCACAAGGTGGGATTCAAACCTCAGCTCTCTTTCTCAGAGACATCATTCATTCTACAGCTTCAATGGTTAACTCCAAGGGTCTATTTTCTGAAAGTATATTCTAGAAAATGTTCGTTTTCCTGAATGTTAATAGACAAGCATTTCTAAAAATGTTTTTGTACGACGTGAAAAAGGTATTCTCTGTCAACATTCACCCACAAAAAAAGAGATCTCATAGTCTGATAAGTCAATAAATTAAACTGTTTGAAATTCTACAAATGAATTTAAATTTCAAATTCTTACAATTAAGGTTAAGGACTCAATTTTAGCCAATATTTGCATAAACCATAGATTTCTTAGGTTTTCAATGACCATTTTAAGACAATTATAAATAGGGGCGCCTGGGTGGCGCAGTCGGTTAAGCGTCCGACTTCAGCCAGGTCACGATCTCGCGGTCTGGGAGTTCGAGCCCCGCGTCGGGCTCTGGGCTGATGGCTCAGAGCCTGGAGCCTGTTTCCGATTCTGTGTCTCCCTCTCTCTCTGCCCCTCCCCCATTCAGGCTCTGTCTCTCTCTGTCCCAAAAATAAATAAACGTTGAAAAAAAAAAAAAGACAATTATAAATAGAACACTAATAATTATACAGATTTTATTTTTACTTTACTCATATGTAATTCTTCATAATCTTTATATGAACATTGATGACTATACAAAAACTGCAGGAACATCTGGCACCTTAGAGTCTGTAGGTTATGTCACTCGTGGTCTTGTCGATGAATTTGGATATTCTTATCTTGACTTATAAAGATGTTATTCAACCAGCATTTCTATAATGTGCAAAATAAACTTAGGCCAAGTTGTGAAAGTGCACCTCCATTTAATAAGGTTGGGATTATGACTTATTTCTTATTGCTTTGTGTGAGATTCTATAAATTTTTGAAGAAAATATATGGACTTTCAAGTCTCAAGGATGTATTTCAAGGCTTCTTTTCTGTTTCTAAAATGTCAATGTGGGCATTTATTGAGAAAACATGTGTTGAACTCTTCCTATTATCTGGGTCTTATGATAGATCTTAGGAAAACAAAAATGAATGATACATACTTGCTGTCTTTCAAAGGTTCCGACAAGCTAGATCCATAATTTTAAACCAGAAGTAAACGCATGTGACATAGCAGGAATACCAGTCTAACAATCGAATTTCTCCCCAGTTGTCTCCTCGGGCAATCTGCTTTCCTCAACACTTTGTCAATTCCATACCTTAGGGCCAGGTTGTCCTTTTCCAGGTGGTCCTTCTGGGCCTCTTGTTCCTGGAAGCCCTGCTTCTCCCTAGAGGAAATGAGAATGATGCCTTAGCTGACTCTCCATGGACAGTTTGTGTAAGCCCACCTTGTCTCCTTTTCTGGTCAGTGGATTCTCTGCTGAGACCCTCCAAAATAAGACCTTCATTCTAGTCTTAAAATGGATTTGGAAATCTACCAACTTTAATAAATTAATATCAAGCTCTAGTTTAGCTCAGAGCCGCTGAAATATGAAAAAGTCCAATTTCTCAGCCAATTTTCAAAGACTATACTCACTTTCCTATGGCTCATCATTCACATGTGATGGTTTGGCTTAAAAAGAAAAAAAAAAACGGAAAGACCTTCAGCCTTTCCATCTGCTTTTTTCTCTACTTATATTGAAAAATAAGTATTTCAAATGTCAACTCATAACACTTCAGAAAATCTTTACAATGGCCTTACATCCAGAATGCATTTACAGCCTCTCATTTTGGAGGGGGAAAAAGTGTTTTTCTCTAAGGCTACACTCAGGTACTTTCTAGGAATCACAAAGGGACTAGATCACTGGAGGGTACCATGGTCGAAACACCAGAGAGAAAGCAGAGAGCATGAGACCCTGTTCACCCATTAAATTGGTGCTCTTCCTCTCTGAAATAAGTGGAAAAGGAAATTTATAATTATGAGATGTTTTAAAAAGACTAAGCTTGTCCTGGATGGTTTACTTTGAGTTCCTGCAGGACCAAGGTATCAGCGTGGTTCAATAGTTTTTACTCTAGTCACGGAAAAACATACTGTTGTTACCTTCTTTCCTGCAGCCCCATCCTCTCCTGGTACTCCTGGTTGTCCTGGGAGCCCTGTTGAGCCTGGCTCCCCCTGGTGGATGAGCAAAGATTTTATTTCCCAGAAATTCATATTTATCTATAAGTGTCATGTTTACCATAATTTAAATTCATATTTATGCACCACCATTTTGAGGTACTTACCAACTGTATATCTTACAATATTTGAAACAAACCTCTGAATGGGGAAATCTGAGTAGTAACCAGTAGTAATGAAATTATTTGACCTTGGGCAAGTTACTTCAACTTCTTGGATCTCAGTTTTGGATTATGTTGTTCTGGATTGAACTGTAACCTCAAAGAAGATATGTCAAAGTCCTGACCTCTGGTACCCGTGAATGTGACATCATTTGGAAATTGGGTCTTTATAGACATGACCAAGTTAAAATGAGATCATCAGGGTGGGCCCTAATTCAATATGACTTCTGTACTTAGAAGAAGAAGCAAACGCCATGTAAAGACAGACACATGGGAAGAACTCCATGTGATGACAGAGGCAGAGACAAGAGTGGTGCCACTGTGTGTCATGGAATGCCAAGGATTGGCAGCCAGCACCAGAAGCTGGGCAGAGGCAAAGAAGGATTCTTCCTTACAGGTTTCTGAGAAACATGACTCTGCAGACACTTTGATTTTCAACTTTGAACCTCGAGAATTGTGAGATAACAAATTTCTGTTGTGTTGAACCACAGTGTGTGATTCTTTGTATAGCAACCCTAAGAAGTTAACACGAAAGTGAAATTTCAGCTCTAATATTCAGTACTGCTACTTGCTTTCAAGTTAATTTGTATTTAAGAATACACCCTTTAAAGTGTTTAGAGATAACATGTGCTACCTTCAAACAGTGCCAGAGTGCTTATTGCATTCATTAACAGCAAAAATATTAAAAATAAGTGAAAGTCATTTCACCTAACTTAGCTAAAAAAAACCAAACTCGTGAAGATAAAGGCACAGTAAACCTAAAAATAAGTAGAAGGATATGGTAAGGATAAGAGCGGATAGTAATAAAGTTGAAAGCCAAAAGTAAGAAAAGTAACAAAATTAAAGGGTATTACCTTTAAAAACTAATAAAATAAATAAGCCTCTACTAGCAGGAATTACTAATACTAAAAATAAAAGTCACAGTTAAACAGTATTAAGAGTTAAAAGGAAATATAACTATATACATATAATAAAAATTTTAGAAAAATTTTCATGACAATTTCAGACAAATGTATTGGAGAACATTAATAAATAATCTTTAAGAAAAATATAAATCACTTAAATGACATAGGAGAAACAGACGAGCTAAATGAAAGAGAAGCATCAAAAAATTGAATCAGTAATGAAAATCTCTAACTTCTTTTCCTTCTAAGATCACAGGCTTCGTTGGCTTAACAGTCAAGCCTTATAAATTCTTTAACCTTTGAAGAACAGATATTCCCTATCTTATACAAATAGTTGTGAAAAACAGTAAAAGAAGGAAGTCTACCCAATTTATTTCACAAGGGTAATAAAACCTTAATTAAAGTCACACAATAATAGGATGAGTAAACTACATTGTAGACCAGACTACCTATGGATATAGATATAATGTAAATTTCCAGTCAAAATGCAGGATTAGGGGCCAGATTTAATTTCCTCCCTGACACAACTAAAAACCAGACAAAACATATAAAATAGTATCCTTCAAAACATTAGACACCAGTAATAAAGGATAATAATACCGGGGAGCAGGGAAACAAATTACGTAAACACTATACTTTCTCCAGTTTGTTGCCAGGGTAGTTACCAGGCCATGGTGTATGGAAGGAGAATCTGGAGAAAGTTCAGAAATCTCTCCAATTTCAGGAGACAAAGGTAGGAGTCTGGGTAAGCCAGGTATCAAAAATTCACAGACTAGATTACCTGATAGGAAGAAGGTACACAGAACAATGAAGCTCTGAGGAGTGTCCCCTCAAATATTCAAGTAAATACTGTTCAGCACAGTGTGACAAAACTACCTGACTCCCAGAAAACAACCAACCGAAAAGAGTATAAAGAACTGGCAGCAGACCAGAAACGGTGCCTGGTTCCAGTGGCAAAAAAGGAAATCTCACAATTCTGAGGGCATGTATTAGAGTTCTAGAAAAGGTCTTGCTTCAGTAGTCAGGAAAAATGAACCCTAGACTAAATGCTGCCCCAGTCCTACCTAAGAAAGCTTAAAAGCAAGACCAAGAGGTTCAAGCTGTTTTAAAGTGACTTAAAAGAATCCAGGACAATGCATAGAAATACAGAGATATGTATAGGAATACAAAAACGTCTAGCCCCCCAAAAGGTAAAATTTATGAAGTTTGGATCTAGCCAAAAATTATCAGGAATTCAAAGAAACTAGGAAAAAGCTGACCAAAAAAAAACCTCACACAGGTGATAGAATTGGTAGGTAAGGACACTGAAACAGTTATTATACTGCATTCTATATGTTCAAGAAACCAAAGGAAAGTTGAAATACATTAAATAGAGACAGGAAGGTAGAGAAAGATACAAATTGAACTTCTAGAGTTGAAAATTGCAAAGTAGGAGATGAAGAGATACACTGGATAAAATTCAAAGCAAATTAGACATCACAGAAAATCAATGAACTGAGAGACATAGCAGTAAAAACTATCTTAAATGAAGCAGAGAGAATAGAGACTGAAAAGGAGTGAGCAGAGCATCAGGAAAACAGCCAAATAGAAGTAAAATGGAGATTCCTGGATGAAGACAGACAGTGGGAAATATTTTGAAAAACAATGGCCTAATGTTTCCAAATTTGATGAGATCGCCAACCTACAGACCCAAGAAAATCAATGAACTGCAAGCACAAGAAATACGAAGAAAACAAAACTAAGGCACATTGTAATCACAGGGCTCAAAACTAGTGATACAGAGAAAACCTAAAAGGTAGCCAGAGAAGAGAGACATATAGAGAAACAAATGTGTGGATTCTAACAGATTTCTCATCAGAAACAATGCAAGTGAGAAGACAGTGGAACAACATCCTGAACATACAAAAAGAAACAAAACAAAAACAGCCATCACCCTAGAATGCCATACCCAGTGAAAATATGGACAAAATAAAGACTTTTTTGGAAACAAATGTGGCAGTTTCTTGAAAAGCTGAGTAGATACCTACCATATGACCTAGCCATTTCACTCCTAGGCATTTATCCAAGAAAAATGACAGCATATGTCTATACAAAGACATGTACATAAATGTTCATAACAGCTTTATGTATACTATCCCAAATCTGGAAACAACCAAGCGCCCACCAACATGTGACTAGATGAACAAATTATGGTATGTCCATACAGTGGAATACTATTCAGCAATAAAAAGAACAATAAAAAAAGAAGCTGTTCATAGATGTTAAACATGGATCTCAAAGTAATTTTGCTGAGTAAAAGAGAAGACAGAGAAAAAAGCTTACACGATATATTATTCTATTAATATAATATTCGAGGAAATGCAGACTAATCTATAATGGCAGAAAGCAGATCAATAGTTACCAGAGATTGCAAAGCAGATCAGTAGGAGAAGTTAGGGAGGGATGGAGGGATGGTATTACAAAGGGACACATAATAATTTTGGGGGTGGGGGATGATGGATACTTTATTTGGTTTTAGTGATGGTTTCAAGAACATATACATATGTTTTATCAAAGTGTACACTTTAACCATGTGCCTTTATTGTATGTCAACTATGCAATAAATGGAATTGTTTAAAATGGATGAAAAAATCCTGAATAAAAGATTAGTCGATTAAATTGCTATCATTAAAAAAGCTATACATCATGATCAGATGGGTTTATGTCAAGAATGCAGAATGGTTCAATACCTAAAAATTCTGGAAATGCAATATACTACTATTAACAGGTTAAAAGGGAAACATAAAACAATTATCTTAGTAGAGGCAGAATCTGATAAAATCCAATACTCATAATTAATAAGGAACTTTTGGTACAACTGAAACAGAAAGTAATTATCTTAACATAGTAGAGGTTGTCTATCAAAACCCTACAATAAATATCCCACTTAAAATTGAAATTTTAGGGGTGCCTGGATGGCTCAGTCAGTTGAGCATCTGACTTCAGCTCAAGTCATGATCTCGAGATTCTTGGGTTCAAACCCCCCATCAGGCTTTGTGCTGACAACTCGGAGTCTGGAGCCTTCTTCTGATTCTGCATCTCTCCCTCTCTCTCCCTCTCTCTCTCTGCCCCTCCCCCGCTTGTGCTCTGTCTCTCTCTCTCTCTTAAAAGTAAACATTTAAAAAAATTTTTTAAGTGAAATTTTAGAAGCACTTCCTTTGAAGTCACTTCTTTTACACATTGCACTGGAGGTCCTGTCAGTGTATAATTTTTAAAAATGAATAGGAAAAAAGCTAAAAAGAAATAGGTAAAACAGTTTTTATTTTCAGACAATATGATTACGTACACAGGGAATAAAAAACGAAGACTTTGTAAACAATTAGAAACAATAAGAGGAAGGTGCCTGGGTGGCTCAGTCAGTTGAGCATCTGACTCTTGATTTCAGCTCAGGTCATGATCTCACAGTTCGTGAGATGGAGCCCTGCATTGGGTTCTGTGCTGACAGTGTGAAGTCTGCTTGGGATTCTCTCTCTCCTTTCTCTGCCCCTTTGTCCGCGCACTCTTGCTCTCTCTCTCTCTCAGAATGAATAAATAAATAAACTTAAAAATAGAAATAAAAGATACTGTCAGGTGCCTGGATACAAAAATCAATACACCAAAAAACAAACACCACCACCAACAAAATAATACTTTTCCTGTAGACCTGGAATAGCTAATTAGAAGATGTAGAAAAAGAAAACAATTCACAATGCAAAACATTTCTCCAATGTACTTTTTAAAAAATGTGTATTTATTCTTGAGAGAGAGACAGAGTGCGAAGTGGGGAGGGCAGAGAGAGGGAGACACAGAATCCAAAGCAGGCTCCAGGCTCTAAGCTGTCTGCAGGGAGCGGAGCCCGAAGCGGGCCGAACCCACAAACTATGAGATTACAACCTGATCTGAAGTCCAACACTTACCCGACTGAGGCACCCAGGATCCCCTCCAATGTACCATTATAACTGAAAAACTACAAGATCTATATGGATAAAATGACAAATATTTTTCCCTGAAAATTAGTTTTACTCTGTGGTTTGAAAGACTCAATATTTAAATTTTTTTCAATGTTTTATTTATTTTTGAGAGGAAGAGAGAGACAGAGAGCAAGTAGTGGAAGGGCAGAGAGAGAGGGAGACACAGAATCCACAGCAGGCTCCAGGCTCTGAGCTGCCAGCACAAAGACATGGGGCTCAAGCCCATGAACTGTTAGCTCATGACCTGAGCCAAAGTCAGATGTTTAACCAACTGAGCCACCCAGGCGTCCCTGAAAGAGTCAATATTTAATATGAAGGTTCAATGCAACGCTAGTCGGAGACTCCAATGGGATATTTTGTCAAATTTGACAAGTCAATCCTGAAATGAGTATGTTAGATTCAAGAATAACCAGGAAAGAAATTGGGAGTATTTTCCCTGTTGATGATAAAACTTATAAGTCGATCATAATCAAGACAGAGATGTAATAGCTCTGAGAGAGAAATAGACAAATGGGGCAGAATAGAGAACTCAGACACTGATCCTCACACATAGAGAGCTTGATGTATGACATAGGTGTAGTTACAAATCAGTGCAGCGAAGACAGACTGCTCAGTAACTGATGTGGGGATAGCTGGTTATCTGTATGGGGAAGAAAAAGATCACCACGTTGCCCCATATACAAAAAATAAACTGTAGTGGAATAAAGACTAAATACCTAAATTTTAAAAAACAAAAACACACCAGGTTTTAAGAAGAAAATACATGAGGATCTTTATGACTTTGGAGTCAAGAAATGTATAATATTCAGAAAGCTGAGACCATAATGGGATAGAAATACACCAAAATTTAGGACTTCTGTATACTAAAAGGTACCCCGTAAAAAAGACAAGCCATAGCCCTGGAGGTGATATCTGCAACCTAAACAACAAAGAATTAATATCCAGATACAGAAAGAGCTATTAATAAAAAAGGAACACCAAGCCTTTAAAAAAATGAATATCTACAGGAATTTACAAAAGAGGAAACCTGAAGGTCCATTAAGCACACAAAAACTGTTCAAACAGTTACCAGGGAATAGAAATTAAAACAATGAGATTTATCATTCACACTTCCTGTTGGCCAGAAGGTAGAGAAAGGAGCGTTGTCATATACTGCTGGAAGGAGGGCAAATGGGCAGAGTACCCATCATCCATTTTGGACAGGATTTTCACAATGTCAGACGTGAAAACTTGCCTATACTCTATGATCTTCCAATTCTGCTCATAGTGTTTATCACCTACTAGTAAGAGAAACTTGCAGTCTGACTTACACGAAAGGAAACTTGTAGAATGCTTATGGCAGCATTGTTGGCAAAGGCGAAAAATGAGAAGCAATTTAAATGTCAATCAATAGGAAAATGGATACATTTTAAATGAGATATTTTTATACAACAGACTACCATAGACAAAGAAAATGAGTAAATTAAAGGTATAGGAAAACAAATAAGACATGAGACTGAATACAGATATATGGCAGAATGATACATTATGTAAAGTTCAAGAACACACAAAAGATATACGTGGTTTATGGATAAAAACATATGTGGGAAAATTATAAAAACTTTGAAAGAATGATAAATACCCAAGTCATGAAAATAACATATCAGGGGAGGGTGGGGAGGGGCCATGAGATTGAGGGGCACAACCAGAGGCCTCTACATATATCTGTAATTCTTCTTTTTTTTTTTTTTTTTATAAAACTCTATTTTAAAAAATTTTTTTAGTTTATTTATTTTGAGAGAGAGAGAGGGAGCGAGCACAAGCAGGGAGGGGCAGAGAGAAGGAGAGACAGAATCCCAAGCAGGCTCTGCACCATCAGTGAGATCATGTGAGATCATGACCTGAGCCAAGACCAAGAGTCAGATGCTTAACCAGATGTGCCAACCAGGTGGCTTCTTCTTAAAACTAATGCTTTTAATGCTTCTTCTTAAAAAATAGCTAGCATGAATAAGGCAAAATGTTAACATTGGATAAAGCTGGGTTGTGGAATACATGGGTGGGTTTGTTTGTTTGTCTTGCATTATTCTCTGTACTATTGAGTATGTTTGAAAGATTTCCTTTTCTGAAGTGAGAGAAGCTTAAGATTGTTCATCTAGTTAGTGGCAAAACTGGGATTTAGACAAGGAGTATAACTGCTGAGCCTTACTATCCTACAGTGCCTTTCTGAAATTGGCACATGAATGATGTAATATGTGTATATACAGATCCGTACACTACATAGATGTATGGTGATATATGTAAGTCACACTTAGCACTTAGCATATTGGGTGGCACATCAAAACCATTCAACAAATGGCAGCTATTATAACCATTGATTTATATTAGTAATTGCTATTTATATTGGTATGTTTTGTAGCCTTTGTAATTGTATGTTTATGTATATGTAATGTGTATATTCTTCTAGACCCACATCTTACACATCCCAAATACTTATACAAACAGTGACCATGTCAGCAGAAACAATGATGGAGTTTAATCCTCAGTGTGGCTAGCCAGGTCCTATATGCCTTCAGGATTACTTCTAGAAATTGTGAAGGGCAAAGTAAGAATTCATTCATTTACTTAACAGCATTTATTGAGTACCTATCATGTCACTAAAACTGGGGATCCACTAACAAACAAGACGAAAAAAGAAACCAGGTCCCTGCCACAGGTGAGAAGCACTATTTAATAGTGTAGCGTAAAGCAAGCCAGATACGTGATTGTAAATTTTCTAGTAGCCACATTTACAAAATTAAAAGAAACAGGTGAAAATCATTCTACTGATGTATTTTACTTACTTTAATGGATCTGAAATTTCATCACTTGAATACGTAATCAACATGCAAATGTAATGAAATAGTTCACATTCTTTGTGCCAAGCTTGGTAACCTAGTGTGTATTTCACACTTATCCCAAATCCCACTACACACTCAACATGTTTCCAGCATTCAGTAACCATGTGTGGCCAGTGGCTGCAATGTTGACCAGGGTCTTTCGTGAGCAGATTAGTCAGATGAGAAGCAATTCAGAAAGCATGCAAGTTGAGGTAAGTGGTAAAAGCAAAGGAAACTGCAGGCTGAGACATAAAATAACTGGGTAGTAGGAGTGGGGTAGGCATACTTTAGGCTTAAGGAACGACTTTCTGAAGAAGTAGCTTGAGCTTGCACCTGAAACACAAGCCAGCGGCAAGCAAGATGAGGAATGTACCCTTTGCTGCAATCCTACCGTGCTAGGTGCCCTGTTTTACAATAGGACAGGCAAGAATGTTCTTAAAGAATCAATCTGTGCCAAAAGAGGGCCTCTGATGCTAATAAATATATGAATACAAAAACAGATAGCGGTTGTTAAAATAAACTAAGATTTTTGGTTCTTCTTAAATGATAAGAGTTACACTGAGTATCACTTTTCCAAACAAATATTCTCTTCTGGTGAAATAATAGATGACACATGCATGATCTGTATTGCATTTGGATATGAATGAAACTTCACATAATATGACATAAATTATCTAAGTGCTTCTGATCGGGATGGTCATCTCACCTTTGGGCCTTGTACTCCAATTCCCACTGGCCCTCTAGGACCTGTAGCTCCTGTTTGGCCTACTTCTCCCTAGTGAGGAAAGAGTATTTGAAGAGTATATGACTACAACAGTAAAATAAAAATAATATATTCCTGCCTTAAGAGCTAAGTGCTCTCTTACAACAACACAATAAGATAAAACAGAGCTTTATGTCCTCAATTCATATATGTGTTTGAATATATATATAGTAAATATATATTGATTATATTATTAATATCAATGCTCACAATATGTTGTAACGTAAAATATGAAAATATGTGAATATATTATGTTTTTAAGTATATGTTTCTATGTAATTCAAATATATGTATGCATATATATGTGTGTGTGTGTGTGTGTATATATATATATATATGTATATATATATATATATATATATATATGCCTAAAATCCCTTTAGGTAGATGGAGTTGTACCAAATTTGGAATATATAATGGGCTGGCTTAAAATACAGGCTAGGTAGCATACTTAAAAGGTGGAGGGCACCTGGAATATAGGCAGTTACATTCCACATTAACTAAAATTGACACATGAGAAGCCCAAGTGACTGCTAATCAAGGGCAATATCGTGAACAGACAGAATGACCTGAGCTTCCAATGGTGAGCCCAGATCAAAAGTCTCAAGGACAGTAACTTTATGCCGTCAAGTGCTTCTCACATGGGAATCTCTAAGGAGTGTACTGGAAGGTGACTACTCTCAGAGGAGTATTTATTTAATAATCATTAGTGACCATTTGAAGCAACATTAAGTATAGCTAGTTAAATAATAAGTGCCATGCCTCTCCCTAAGGATAAATAATAGCTGTTAATTTAGGACATAATAAGATTCCCATGTTCACAGAAAAGTTTTATGTATTTCTGACTCCATATCTTTAATTAAATGTTTCAGGAGTTTGACCTATTGTGGGAGTGTTGGTTAGAATGAATTAGCAAGCCCACAGGTGGCCTCTACTGACAATCCTCCTTGAATTGCTAGAATAGGATCTCTTGAGAAAATGTAATAAAACAGTAAATTAACACTGCATAAATAAATGTGTCTAAGAGCATAAAGAATACACATTACCTTATCTAAACCATCAGGAATATCCATAATGTTTTGCATTAAGTAGAAATCTGATGTTTAAGTTCATTTCATCTACTGCTTTCCCAGTGCACTGGCTCCTGACCAGGAAACAGCAATAGACTATGGATGTACTAAACTCTGCTTTCATTTAGAAAGTTACCTTGGGGAAAGAAGGAAAGAAAGAAGGAAAGAAAGAAAGGAAGGAAGGAAGGAAGGAAGGAAGGAAGGAAGGAAGGAAGGAAGGAAGGAAGGAAGGGAAAGAAAGAAAGAAAGAGAAAGGGAGAGAGAGAGAGAGAAAGAGAGGAAGGAAGGAAGGAAAGAAAGAAAAGAAAGAAAAAGAAAAGAAAGAAAGTTACCTTAGAACCAGGTGAGCCTTGTCCTGGGGGCCCTTGTGGACCAGGTGGACCCATAGGACCTTGGATTCCCTTTAAAATAAAATGTTTAAAAATAGTATTAGTGAAATTCAGAAATTTGGATAAGACTAGTTTCATATCCTCTAACATGAAATTTTAGTTCACATCACATAATACATTACTCATCCTCAGTATTTGTTGAATGGCATGGCAGAGGCGGCTAGTTGAACCATAATATGCATTCTCCCCTTTATCCATAGTAAAAGAATTTTAGCTGACCTGCATGGCTGCCTAGAATAATGACCATATTTCCCAGTCCCTTGTGCAGACAGGCATTGGCATATGGACTGGATTCTGGCCAATGGGATATGAATGGAAGTGATGTGTGCAATTTCTGATTCATGACAAAGGAGGAAGTATGCCTTCCCCTTCCATGTTCCCCTGCCCCAGTGGCTGAAGTGAAGATATACTGGTAATTGTGGATCCTGTGGGTGAGGAAAGTACCCTTGGAAGGGCAGACTCATAAGAATGAAGAAGACCAAACCCCTGAAGACCCTGATGAGCAGAGCCACCACACCAGCTTGGAGTTGCAAATAAGAGAAACAAAATTCCGTCTTGCGAGCTTATTTCACATCTCAGTCTCATGCAGGCAAACCTATATTCTAGTTGCATCAATGAAAATATATCAGGATATTAAGTTGAAGGTTTGGCCATAGGCTCTAAAAAGCAATAGCCTATAGACATCAAATTGAAGAATGTTCAAACACTAGACTCTCACTCACATTGTGGATATAAAAAGGGGAAATAGACAGGATTTAATAAGTTCTTCTTTGGAGAAAGTAGTCTTACAAAGCATTTTCTTTGCAGAAAATGAGAGGGATTTGGGTTGCTTCCCTCTTTAGCCTATTCTAGAGAGGGAGCTTCAGTGAAACCACTTATTGACCTTGATTTTTGCTTTGGGGACACAAGGGACCTTTGTCTGCCTCATACCTGGGAGAGCTAAAATGGACTATGATGGTCAAGAGGGGCATGGGTGGGGTCAGCGGGGGGAGCAATCAGCCCATCCATCCAGGGTCTGTCAGCACAAAGGCCACACTAGTTTTTTTCTGTGGACCAGATGTACTCTAGATGAGAGACAGGGTTGGCCTGGAATTGTTTTGAATCCTGGCCAAGAGGACCTGGAGGAGCTGTGGAACTCCAACAGAGAGAGTCAGTATTAAATGAACCCCCAGAAAAGCAGAGGTTGAGGGGGAGAAATGACTGGAGCAAGAGAGTTCTTCATCCATGTCCCGAAAGTGGCAGTCACAGGGGCAAGGCAGGAGCCCCACAAGGAAACTTAGTGTCAAACATCAGTCAAGACCAGAGGATCCGAAGCCATGTGACAACAGACCAGCCAGGAAAGAACCTCTGTGGCCTCCCCCCTCTACCCTCATCCTTGACTCAGCCTGGGAGGGATGAAAAGCACGATCCCTCCCACGGACCACAGGCTCTCCCTACAGCTCATACCAGATGAATGAAGATTAAAAGGAAAATTAACATATTGACTAGATAATTTGCATTACATAATTAAAACTGTGATTTACAACTTAGAGGTGACACAATAAGTTTTATTACCTAAAAGTGATAAGAAAAGACTGAGGCTTGTTGGTAATTTCTTCCAGAAAAAGAAAAAACTTTCCCCACTGGAAAATATTTAAGGGATGATGAGGAAAAAACTAAAATTTTATTTCACTTACACCTCAGAAGCCATGCTTGCATAAATAATGGTTACAGATATATGATTGGTTTATTACAAATGGCATCCCCTTTTCTCCAGCTGGATGATACAACTGCTGTTTATTTTTTAATTATAAACACGATTCCCCTTTTCTCTGGTTAATGAAGATGAAGCAGCGTAAACAATTTAAGAAAGCTAAGGTTATTATAATAAGGAATTAAAATGTTATTATTAGAAGGAATCATTTACAATAGTCTACAAGTAGCATGGTATGTGACAAGGAACCAAAAAATTCGAAGGGCTATGTGCACTTATGTGTATGTGGTTATTTGTATTTCACTCCAATTTGTAACAGAGTTGAAGTTGTCAGGCCTCCAAACATTTAATGAAAATCTGCCGGCCACTTGAGTCATATTATAAACATGTTCCTGAAAACAAGAATTCCCTCCAAAACAGAGGACTGGGAAAATTCATTTCTATAAGAGAATTAGGGAGATCTAGCAACAACAATCATTCCGTGGGTAAACATGTTCAATTAAGGATAAGAAGAAAAATGAATAACTGTATAAGTGGAGGTTAAATGTAAGTAGGATTTAAATCATTTGTCTTAAAAGGGCAAATGATTTCTTTTCTTATTTAAAGCAGTTTATAAATAACACATTCTATTCAATCTCCTACCGATAGGGGTCAGCTCCTAATAGACAGGTCTACCTTAAAAGTTATCTTCTCTTGGAAAAGGAGAGAAAGGGGTGAGAAAACAAAAGAAGTCAGAGATGTTTTTTAACCTGAAGCACAACAACATCCACCAAGATCCAGTAGTAAAGGAAATAGGAAGTTGCAGGTGGGATCCAGGATTTACAGGCCATCTGGAAAGATTTGGCTTTTTTTTGGACCTAATTTTCAGGCCTATAGTGGTAACTCAGCACCAGGACCACAAGACTCAGGAAGCAACACGACTGTCCAGTCACATCCAGGACCAGAATGTAAGCCTGTATGAAATTGGCAAATAAACTACAAAGTGTGAGACTGCTTGATGCTGTAGTCAAACCATAATCCTTATGTAATCAAAATATCCAGCTCTTAATTATTATCTAAATACTTATATACAGACTTATCTTGGCTTTTCCTGCATCTTAACCTTCCTAATGTATTACACTAGGATTTCTACAAAGAGAAAGGAAATGGAAAGAGGAGTTATATCCAGATTTGCTGTTGCTTAGATTAACAATAACAACAACAAAAATACTAATTAATTACTAGATGTTTAGAAATAAACCCAGAGTTAATGTCAACAATGAGATTTGGAATTATCCTTTTTTAATCCTCTTTTCCCATTGTCCTAGATAAAGGAAGCACTGTTCATTCTCTAGGCAATGGAATAATTCAAACCTTAATCATAAATCTTAATCAACAGATTGGCTACTTTCTATGCAGGAGGACATTCAGCATAAATTTGGATTTGTTCGTCACGTTGATTAAATGAGATTCTGTAGGTAGATAGTACTGTTATATTATTTTTGTATTACTCAGATCTAACAAAATTGCCCATCTTTTCCAAAAGTTACGGTCAGAAGATTTGGGAAGCAGTTCCAGCCGTGAATGTAGAGACATCCTCAGAGTGCTTTCCTTTCTTCTGACCGAGGGAGGCCAAATGTTATTTATAAACCCTCTCTGTGATTTGCTTCTATTCAGGAACAGTACCCGTTAAATTAAGTGGTTACCTCTGATTCTGGTGTGGGTTTTAAGTTTAATACTTTTTTAAGATTGGTACATGGCTGGGGAGTAGGAAAGACTACTCTATTGGCATTGGGAGAAAGTGGGATCTAATCATTCACAAAGCCTCAAGGGGAAAATACACAAACCCACAGGTAAATAAACCACTGCTCCTAAGGAAAACTAAAAATATAAACTCAATCTGAAACTCTTATCCTGTTAATTAGACATGAAGGTTAAAAGTCACAGCTCCAAGAAGCACACATTTTATTTTTTAAGTCTTTGGAAGTTCTAGAAAATAAAATCTCATAGAACCATCTTTTCCTTCCCTACACTTACTTTTGGATGTACATCCCCTTGTGCTTTGACTATCAAATATACTCAGAGGTGTTTGCAGGACTGGCTTTCAATGAACAGTAGGATTTGGCCAGAATGTTCCATACTGAGAGGAAAGGGAGAAAGCTTGGATTACCTGTTCCCCTTGACTCCCAATTCCGGGGATGCCCATTGGCCCTTGGGGTCCCGCAGGTCCCAAATCCCCCTGTGTTGAAAATAAGAGAGAAATATAACAATAAACCTCATTCTTTCATACTTTGCTAATCTTGAATTATGCTGAATTGAAATCCATCTATAGCATAAAACGGTTCAACATAAAAAGTTAGAAAACTCTTTCTTTTAAACAGTTTATGGTTCAAGTTTGCCAAAGTAGTGAATGCTAGTTTCACTGTTTAGTCTAAATTGGTGACTATTTGCACATGTTTGTATTTATCAGTCATTTTTCTCACAGGAACACAAAATTCCTAAATGGTTGTTATAATGGCACAACTGCTTCCTGTTAGGATTATAACAAATATTTAAATGTATAATATTCATTGGGTACAAAAAAATCAGGATTTGAGAGAGAACTTGAAGAGAAATGTTTCAAAATTATCTAAATACCTTTCCCCTCCACATCTTATAAAAATATGCCTTAAAAATTAAGAAGTTATTTAAGGTAAATGCAACAGAACTGAAGAACCTCACCTTTCCTTTCTCTGAAATAAATTTGGGAAGCAAAGCGAGAGTTATCAGCAAGAAGAACACTATCATTCATTCTTTGTGTGTTTCAGCAGGTACCCGTGAGTGCCTATTATGTGCTAGGAATTATTCCAAATGCTGGGGAAGCAACAGTGACCTAAGCAGCCAAAAGTCTCTGTTCTCATGGAGCTTACATTTTAGTGGGAAAAACAGAAGACAGTAAACAGGATAGATAAAATAAATAATATGTTAAAGAGTGATAAGAGCTAAGCAGAAAACTAAATCAGGGAAGGGGGGGACAGCTACAATTTTGCATAAAGTGGCCAGAGATGACCTCATTGGAGAGAGAAAATGAATCCAGTAGAAACATAGAAAAAAAGCATTCCAGGCAGAGTAAACATCCACTGCAAGGATGATGATGCCGGAACAGCCCAGAACAGCAAAGACACAATGTGTTGCATATTTTATCTTATTTTCTATTTTTATTTTTTTAAAGCAGGCTCCATGCCCAATGTAGGGCTTCAAGTCACAAACCCTGAGATCAAGAGTCGCATGCTCTATCAACTGAGCCAGCAGGCCCCCCAGATATTCAAATGTCAGTTGTATTTAGGCTATATCAAGGTCCATAAACTTTTTCTTACAGGGTTGGATAGTAAATATTTTATTCTCAAGGACCGTAATAAGGTCTCTATCATAATTAACGAATGCTGCTTTGGTAGTGCAAAAGCAGCCCCAGCCAATACCTAAATGAACAGGTGTGCCTGTGTTCTAAAAACACTTTATTTATAAGAACAAGCAGCCAGCCCTAGTTTGCCAATACCTGGGCTAAATAAATATGTTTTTATAAACAAATTTGTATCATCATTAGTAAATTAAACTAAACTCATAGAACCATAGTTCTGTTGTACTCAGTTCTCACTGCTCCAAAGGAAGAAAGAGCATCTTTACATATTTTTAGGAGCTAGAGCTACAACCAGGGCTGAGCGATTCGAGCCAAGAACTGTATTACAACTAAAATTGGTATAAGTCACTTTTTACCAGTATCTCTGCTATTTAAATACAGATATGTGGAAGAGACAGTTACCAGTAAATAAAAGAAATAAGTAATTCAAAACTGAAACACAAGACCCAAGATAATCATGAATCTAAGTCATTATTGTAATATATAAAATCTGATGGCATGCTTAGAAATTAACATACATGACTCCAAATTGGTATGAATTCTGTTTTTTGCACATTTCTTATATCCTCTCCCCCCTCTGCAGCTTTCTGTTCCCTCTGGTCTGTTGGGCCTTATCAGCCTCCAGCAGCTTCTATCAGCAGCCTCAATACCACTTCTAATCTGGGGACAATCTGTAGCTATTTTAAAGAAGACAAGTAACTAGTGAGAAAGAGACAAGCAATGGCAGGTAGGCCATGGTGTTGTGTTGAACATAAACGGTTTTACAGGCTACCAGTATCAGATATGTACATTCTATGTAATGAACCAAGACAAAAGCAAGAGGAGTCTATAGCCATGTCTGAACACAGACAAAAACAAAAAACAACATCCAAACAACCCATTCCTGGACAAATGATCAAACATCCCCCTATTTGAGCTAAAATGAATGGCTATTTCTTTACAAATTATAGCTAAACCTGACTCCATTTTTCCCACCTCCTAGATAAGACTCATTAAAATATCCAATCTTAAAATTACCTCACCTTAAAATTACCTGCAGTGTCCAATCCAAACCCAACCTGTACTTTCTTAGACACTCCCCAAATCACCTAACACAAGTCCAAGTCCTATAAAGAAAACTTTCATCTTCTTACTGAGTAGTGATGGGTTCCCCATGGTATGTGGTCTCCCTCACTGTAATGAGTCTATAAAACCTAACTTTGTTCAACTATAGGTGGATCCCTGTTGGTCCTTGTAGGAGGGCACCAACTCTAGGTTTCTTAAATAAGTTCTCTTATTTTAGTCCCATTTTTTAAAGTTTATTTAACTTGAGAGAGAAAGCAAACATGAGCAGGGGGAGGGGCAGAAAGAGAGGGAAAGAATCCCAAGCCAGACACAGGGCTCAATCTCACAAACCATGAGATCATGACCTGAGGTGAAATCAAGAGTCGGATGCTTAACTGACTGAGTCACACAGGTGCCCCAGTAATATTTTTTTGAGTGAGCATCTAAGGATGGACATGCACTTTCTGTAATAGGTCAAGTAAATATGTTTTTAAAAATTATTTTCTTTACTAAGAAGGGGTCTGTTTTGCTCATGTTTGTCTACAAAGCTGGTTGGCTGAAGATAGTTTTACTGGAAGTCAAAACCCAAATAAATGAGCCATTACTGTAAATATAAATGATGGGATTTTTCAAATCATAATTCATCTCACATAACAATAAACCCTGCATATACTTGATTTATAATAACCTGGATCCCTGTGTGATAGGGTTGTCAGGTTGAATACAGTTCATAAATGTACATGCATAAAGAACAATGAATAAAAATAATTACACTGGTGCATCTTTCCTATTGTATACTCCATATGCAGTACCTTGTCCCCTTTGATTGACAGGCCTTGTAATCCCTGTGGGCCAATTGGTCCTTCAGAGCCTTTTTCACCCTAAAAATATATATGGGAGGAATATCAGTATACTAATAAAAATCAGGATTTAAAAACAGTTGAAGCATCCAAAGCATTCAAATTCACTATTCACTGCAAATGGGTCATTCTAGCGGACCCCAAGATTTGTAACTTGCAAAATACACATAATTAGGTTTAATACTATTAAATAGGAAGGAATCTATCCAAACAGAACATGTACGCAGCATCACTAACCTTGGAAAAGAACTCCATCCCAATATAATCAGAAATATCTAGAAATGGGGGTCCTAATTATCATATAGTACAACAAACTGTACTCCCTCCACTCCCTCAACACTGATGCAGCTATAGGTCCATCACACAATGAACATTTGTCTCTCATATTAGAATATGAGCTAATACTTGCTTGTACTGAATTACTTGTCATATGTTTTATATCATAATTTATAAACATTCATTGAAAATTTAGTTTGTGTGTGTGTGTGTATTTTTAATATAATTTATTGTCAAATTGGTTTCCATACAACACCGAGTGCTCATCCCAACAGGTGCCCTCCTCAATGCCCATCACCCACTTTCCCCTCTCCCTGACCCCTCCATCAACCCTCAGTTTGTTCTCTGTATTTAAGAGTCTGTTACGGTTTGCCTCCCTCCCTCTCTGTAACTTTTTTTTCCCTTTCCCCTCCCCCATGGTCTTCTGTAAAGTTTCTCAAGATCCACAGATGAGTGAAAACATATGGTATCTGTCTTTCTCTGACTGACTTATTTCACGTAGCAAAATACCCTCAAGTTCCACCTGTGTTGCTGCAAATGGCAAGATTTCATTCTTTCTCATTGCCAAGTAGTATTCCATTGTATATATAAACCACATCTTCTTTATCCATTCATCAGTTGATGGGCATTTAGGCTCTTTCCATAATTTGGCTATTAGTTTTTAGGAGAATTCATAGAAAATCTTCTTGGGTAGATTTCTATAGTCATGTGACCTACGTGAATAGCTCTGGTCGTGATGGCATACCAATGAAATCATGACATTCTGTGCTTTTGTATGAAAAATAAACCATATAATCAATTAGAAATAGCTTTTGTTTCATGAATTTGTTTAAGCCAAGGGTAAAATCAAAGAACACTTGCAAGAAACCTAGGAAACAATAAACCTTCAAGTCCCTCTAGATTCATAATTTATTCACTTAAGCTCTATATCAGTGCAAAGTAACCCCATGTAACACATATAGAAAACTCCCCTTGGTCCTGCTGGTTGGGGAATGAGGTATTCTGACTAATGGTTTCTTCCAATCATTACCACAGAGTACAATTATATACAATCAACCCTAAAATAACACTGAATATAATGTATTCTTTCTGGGATGAGGGTAACACAGTGCTGTGGGTTATTGTGAGTGTATTATTATAACATACAGTTAAACCTGTCACTAAGACACACCCTGCAATATGCTTCTTGTATTTCAATTATTCATTATTTATTTATTCATTCATTTAAAATGTTTTTATTTATTTATTTTGAGAGAGAGAGACAGAGAGCATGTACACAGGGAAGGGGTAGAGAGAGAAAGGGAGAGAGAATCCCAAGCAGGCTCCACACTGTCAGCACAAAGTCTGATGTGGGACTCAAAACCACGAACCATGAGATCATGACCTGAGCCAAAATCAAGAGTTGAACACTTAATCAACCAAGCCACTCAGGTGCCCCTCTTATTTATTTATTTATTTATTTATTTATTTATTTATCTATCTATCTATCTATCTATCTATCTTAAAACCCCCCACAGATTGTAAAGAGAAATAACCCTGGATATTTGAATTTCCCAGGTTGTTTGGACTACACATAAACAGAAATTTTCTATGCCAAAAAAAAAAAAAATCAAGAAAGTATGTATTATAAAACTTCCTGAAATGTAGTGCTAAGTTGCTAACATCTGTCTTCTGAGAGTGATACTCTGATTAAGTCAGGGCATTAGTAATGTCCCTTTTATCCTACATATTATTCCCACTTATTGTGACAAATTAAAGTCTGTTAGTTAATGAGGGCCTCTTTTAAAATTCAACCCAGCAGTCACAACTTAGTGTAAATTAGGTTTTAACTAGTTGATTTCCCTCTAGTGGAGATTCAGGTTTCTCATAGACAATAGAATATTGATCATGGTGGAAAAGGCTAAGAATGAGATGCAATTCTAGAGCATGAGGCTATACTGAGAAGGTGAGATCTTAGCAATCTGACTGACTAAAGTGGAAATTCTTAGACACTTAAGAAAACAGCCTGTGCAGGGCACAGGGTGGCTCAGTTGGTTAAGCATCCAACTCTTGATTTCGGCTCAGATCATGATCTCATGGTTAGTGGGTTCAAGCCCACATTGGGCTTCATGCTGGCAATGCAGGGCCTGCTTGGGATTCTTTCTCTCTTTCTCTTTCAAAAATAAATAAACACAAGAAGAAAAAGAAAGAAAGAAAGAAAGAAAGAAAGAAAGAAAGAAAGAAAGAAAGAAAGAAAGAGAAGGAAGGAAGGAAGGAAGGAAGGAAGGAAGGAAGGAAGGAAGGAAGGAAGGAAGGAAGGAAGAAAAGAAAAGAAAAGAAAAGAAAAGAAAAAAGAAAAGAAAAGAAAAGAAAAGAAAAGAAAAGAAAAGAAAAGAAAAGAAAAGAAAGAAAACAGCATGTGCTTCCCTGGGCGGTGCATGTGTGCATGCATGTGTGTTTGGGGAAAGACTTTAGAAAGAAGGAAAAAGAACCCCCAACTGTTTTCTTAGTTACTGAAATTTTGTTGATGCTGCCCAAAGTGTCTTGCAAAATCATTTCCTGTGTGGCCTTTGGTAGATTGTGGGTAAGTAGCCTCGACCAGAGGTCAGCAAATTATAGCCCACTGGCCAAATCCAGCTCACTGCTTACATTTTTTGGCAAATACAGCTTTACTGGACTACAGTCACGCTCACTCATTTATATGGAGCTGATGACTGTTTTCATGCTACAACAGCATAAGTTAAGTAGTTGCAACAGACACCATACTGCTCACAAAGCCTCAAATATTTATTATCTTTCCCTTTATGGAAAAAGTGTGCCAACCCCAGAGGGTTCCTCAAGGAACCAAGGTTCCCAGGGGAACTTGAGCACCAAGAATTATACATGGGAAGCAATAGAAGCATTTAAATTCTCAATTGCCAGGTAAAAGGTATGTTTTTCATAGTTTTTGCTCCTTATTATAACAAGGTAATTCCAGTGCCCTCCTCCCTGCCATATTTCCTTTCTTATTATGCTAATGACAATGTGATTACAAATTGGTTTATTAGTTTCTTATCTATGTTTCACAAAACAAAGCTGTGAATAAAGTTCTATGGTAGCTACGCTTGATAACTTCTGGGCATAACGATGCTATTTATCACTGTGACTTTAATGACTATAGATTACTTTAAGAGAGTTTTCTCATTTCACATGCAATAATTATATGAAGTAGAAGTCTGCCAATTAGTTATCTATAATTGCAAATTTCACCAGAGTTTCATGTTAAGGAAAAACTTACATCTTCCTTCATTTAATAGGGTGAAGGTGGTCAGGAAAATACTTGACTTCTGGTAATTGGCTAGGACCCATTTTTTTAAAGTTATAAATCATGACCATGCAAGGCAAAGCATTTTTTTCATAGTACAGGAGGTGTTGTTACCTTTGGCCCTGGAAATCCTTCTCCTGGTAAGCCCCTCTCTCCTGGTGCTCCTTCAGGACCACGGGGACCCTGTTTGGATAAGAGGGAATGAGGAACAGGAAAAGAGAAAGAAAGAGAGAATGGGAAGTGGGGAGAGAGATAGAAGGAAGAAGGAAGAGAGAAAATGGTTATATTTTCGTTCACATGGGCACGCAATGATATAGTCCTATTTATGTTATTAGTGAGAATCCTAGTAAATTCCATACTGATCAGCAGAATTGTAGAGTTGTGAAGAAGAATATTCCCATTGTATTACTCATTCCATTTGATTGGCATAAGATGTTCTATTCTGGTGTCCTCATATTAGAGGAAAATGCAAATTAAGTGATGCTTCGGAATAAGGATTAGGAAATAAATCCTTTGAGGGAAGTCTAAAAATCTAGCCACTGTGTGGCCTGGAGAAGGTTGCTGAGTGATTAAGTAATTTAAAAACATCAGGGGAACCCTGTGAAAAAATCACTGCACAGCTGCTTTAAAACATCGAATTCTGTTTACATGTGTTTTAATTTCTATCCTGACAAATTTGGATTCAAACTTGAATTCTTGAATTCTTTCGAGGACTGGTTGAGTCCACTGGGGGTTTGTGTGCAAATAGGAATCTTGATAGAATCATGCAGGGGAAGCATGGTTTTTTATCTCAGTGATTCAAATTAAAAAGTCCATGTAACTATTGCTCAGAAAGTCAGACGGTGAAGAGTTCTCACGTAAGTAAAGAGAAACAACACACTCTCTGGCTTTGAAGTGGACCGGCAGGAAACAAACTGATTGAAAAAGAAAAGACAACAGCAAGATATTCGATTAAAGTGGAAATTTTAAAAGGTTACGAATTTTCCCTCTCTTTATTCTTGGCCAGAAGGCATAAAAGTAGAAAAGGAACTAACAACAAGAACCTTAGAAGCACAGATAGGAGCTTTTCCTCTAATGGATGTAAAAGAAAAATAATGAGGGCTTGCTTGCCAGAAAGTGAGCCTAGGACAGAACAAAGTCTACCGAGTTGCCCAGCAGCTCCAAAGCCAGCAAACGGCAGACACTGTGAATGATCTTCGGGCTCGATACACAGTAATCCGGGATAATTTAAGAGGTGCTTTCTACTGAGCCTGGGAGCAGAGCTAGGATTCAGCATTATGCTAATCAGTGACTGATCACAGTTATAGATTTATAAAAAAGAAAGCTAATTGTATCCCGTGTTCAAATTTTTTTTGCCTTCCCCTATTATTGTATATTTTAAAAGACAGTCTTCTTCAGTATTTATGCATAACCAATTTCGTAAAGACTTTAATTAAAGAAAAAAGCTAACATTTAATTCAATTTAAATTGCTATGCTTATGGGAAACCTAGCTTTTAACAGTCCAAGACCTTAATCAAAGCACTAATATCCATGATAGCTTACTCTAACGTTAGAGTGATTAACTAGGGGAAAAATAAATATAAGCATGAAAACTAGATTGCAAATCAAAGAGTAAGTGCCTAGCTAATATCATATGCTTTAACCAAAAAAAAAAAAAAAAAAAAAAAGACAAATGATTCCTCTTCCCCAATGATAAAACAAATGAAAATAACACAATTTACATTCAATGCAAAGAAGTCTTCTTCCAGTTCACTCAATTTTTTCCATTCATTCAGCAAATACTGACCAAATGCCTAGTAAGTGCCAGGCAGTGTGCTAAGTTCTGGGAACAGCAGGCAGACCTGCTCCCTGGTCTCCTAGAGCTTACAGGCTTTCCTGACAATTATACTGTCATATGGACTGAGGGTCAAGTCCCAGCTCGGCTATGTGTTAGCAGTGCGAACTTGGACAAAGAATTTAATCTCTCTAAAGTTCAGCGTCCTCATCATGATGGTGGTAACAATAGTACCTACCTGAACCATGAGTATTAATATATGGGTTAGGTCAGAGATACTTAAAGCTCTTAAATATTGAGCACTTAATAAACATCTGCCATCACTATCGAAATTATTTTATTTGAATCTTGTGATGGTGAAGAATGTCCTTCCAGGGCATTATGAATAAGTTAGCCTCGGGGTGAATGGTTTACAGTAAGCAATATGGAGAGAGGGCTGCTACGTGGCATAAACACCCAACCCTCCTTTCATCTCTGCATTTCTAGAGTACACCAGCCAAGATGAGACTGAAAACATTGGAGGCTTTGATGAGCCATGTGTTCCAAGCTGCAGAGAACAGAGAACTAATACTTGTGAGTAATTGCTTAAAGGCATTTAAAACAACAGTGATCCAAAATTTAATTATTGCCAACCGTCAGAGGAACAGTCTGTATTATCAGAGTATTCTCATATTTTACAGCAAAGCAGAATGAAAGGTGACTGCTTGGTTAAGAGAAAGAGCAGGTACTCGGGTAGATGAACTATACTTTACTACGACAGAACCCATGGATTATTTCTAAAAGACAGAAATGCTTCTATAAAAAACTCACAGTGTCCTTTTCAAAAGCCATGAAAATCAATTATAATTATGGCATACTTATTTGATTTCTCATGAATGCCTCTAATAAAAAAAATATAAGGACTGTTATTATCAGTTAACACAGTCTGATCAGTGAAATGCTTTATTTGAGACATTAATGAGGTAAAATGTGATCATCCATTATCTTATTACTTTTCTTAATATTCTCACTAGTGTAGATAATCAGTAAAAGTGGTTTTAATATACATTTCAAGCATTAAAAATAACTGTGCTAAATAATAATAAAAATTGCCCATAATATTCAAACAGTACTGTTTATACAATTTTTAACTTCAAAGTATTTATAGTTCTACTTTAGTGGGTATTTTTTACTAACAATGTTCTCAATATCCTTGTACAAAAAGAAAACAACAAACAAACAAAAAAAACCTGACACCGTTTGAAATCATCCAGACAAAGAAACAAAGGTAAGAGACTTTTCAGCAGAACCTTTCTCAGTCCCAAGGTAAGTCTTTATGTTACTTCTAAATAATTCAGAAACTCAGTGTTGGATTTTTATTATGACATTTTGGTACAACATTTGCATACATTATTTGCGATCCTCCCCATCTTTGTAATGATTTCGGTTCCCACTTGAACTGCAGACTTCATGGTGCCTTTCTGATTTGTGTAATTGTGGCTTAGAAAGCAAACAAACAAGAGCTTCATGTTCTAGCAATATTGTGTAAACTCTCTAGCTATAAACAAAAAGGCAAGTAATACAATTTTTCTTTAAAATAAATTTTAAAGGCTGAAATCCAAAAATAAATAAGTGAGGGAAGTCACAGGGCTCCAAAACAAAAAGAGCTGAACGTTAGGGTAGTGCGCATAGAAACTGATGCTGTGGTTGTTCTGGGTGGAAACGTGTGGTCGTATGGTGGAAATAAGTCTAGAAAACCAAAGACAGAGAACCAGGAGCAAAGATTTTGGCTCACTCAAAGGAAAATGAGGAGAGTATTAGACCTGAGATCCCCACAGAAAGCTAGGACCTTCAAAGTTACTTACATATTGTCAATGAAAGGGCAGGGTTGAGAAAAAAGCCATTTAGTCAACACAGCGATATGAAAGACAAGAATCTTGTCTACCCTCACTTAGGCTCTAAATGGGCCTAAAAATTCCAAGCCTGCTCCAGTGCTGTGTATGGGTTTGTAGTTTTAACTGCCATCACATAGGTGATCCAGGAACACCTAGTCAAGACATTAGTATTAAGGATATCCGAGGAGTACCTAAGAGGTGTACATGCAAATTCCTTTCAAATACCCTCCACCCAGAACACTTAAGATTTTCACAGGTAAAGACCTGATGACCATGAATTCAGATGACAGAGTACAAAACATATAAGAAAACAATTGACAATGAATAAAAGTGAGCCTATATAACATAAATTTTCCCAAAAATGTCAAATAATAAAATTATAAAACAGAGACCAAAAAATGGTCTCTTTGAATGCTTAATGGTCTAATAATAGGAATATAAAATACAAGAAGAGAATATTACACTAAAAATAGAAGTATAGTAAAACAATTATTAAAAAATGAATTCAAGGGATGCACAGATGGCTCAGTCAGTTAGGCATCCGACTTTGGCTCAGGTCATGATCTCATGGTTCAAGGGTTCAAGCCCCACGTCGGGCTCTTTGCTGACAGCTCAGAGCCTGGGGCCTGCTTCAGATTCTGTGTCTCCCTCTCTCTGCCCCTCCCCTGCTTGTACTCTGTTTCTCTCTCAAAAATAAATAAACATTAAAAAAATTTTTTTAAATAAATAAAAAAATCAGTGTGTGGGTCTGTATCTGGGTTCTCTATTCTATTCCACTGATCATGTTTCTGTGATGTCAGAACTGCACAGTCTTGATTGCTGTAGTTATGTGAATAAATCTTAAACCCTTTCTTCAACTTTATTCTTCTTTTTGCAAATTGTTTTAATTATTCTAGCTCCTTTGCCTTTCCATACAGATTTTAATTTTTTTTTTCAATGTTTATTTATTTTTGGGACAGAGAGAGACATAGCATGAACAGGGGAGGGGCAGAGAGAGAGGGAGACACAGAATCGGAAACAGGCTCCAGGCTCTGAGCCATCAGCCCAGAGCCTGACGCGGGGCTCGAACTCACGGACTGCGAGATCGTGACCTGGCTGAAGTCGGACGCTTAACCGACTGCGCCACCCAGGCACCCCTCCATACAGATTTTAAAATAATCTTGTCCATACCTTTAAAAAAATCTTACTGGGATTTTTTAAAAGGCTTGCATTAAACCTTATATCAATTTAAAGAGATTGACAGCTTTATGATGTCAGGTCTTCCAATAGATGAATATGGTATATCTCTCAATTTATTAAATATTCTTTTATTTCTTTCATTAGTGTTTTGAAGTTTTCAGGATATAAAGCTTATACATGTTTTATTAAATTTATACCCAAGTATTTCTATTTTTAATGACTATAAATTCTATTGTATTTAAAATTTTTAGTTCTATGTGTCTGTTACTGGAATATAAAAATAAAGTTGATTTTGCCTGTTCTATCTAGAAGACTGGTTTGATTTTTTGTTTTTACAGTTCCACATCATATGGCATTTGCCCTTCTCTGTCTGAACTTATTTCAATTAGTATAATGTCCTCGAAGTCAATCCATGTTGTTGCAAATGGCAAGACTTCATTCTTTTTTATGATTGAATAGTAATCCATTATATATATATCCAATAGTAATCCATCATATATGTGTGGATATACTCTATAAATATATCACAATTTCTTTATCCATTTATCCATCAATGAACACTTAGTTTGTTTCCCTATCTTGGTTATTATAAATAGCAATGAACATGGGATGCATATGTCTTTTCAATATATTAGTGACTTTATTTTCTTTGAATAAATACCCACAAGTGGAATGGCTGGATCATATGGTAATAGAATTTTTAATTTTTTGAGGAATCTCCATACTGTTTTTCACACTGGCTATACAAATTACATTTCCACCAATAGTGCATGAGGGTTCCCTTTTCTCCACATTCTCAACAATACCTGTTTTCTTGTACTTTTGATAATAGCCATTGTAGCAGGTGTGAGGTGATATCTCATTTTGATTTTGATTTGCATTTCTCTGGTAACTAATGATGCTGAGCATCTTTTCATATACCTGTTGGCCATCTGTACGTCTTCTTTGCTAAAATGTCTGTTCGACTCTTCTGCCTGTTTTTTAATTGAATTTTTGTGTTATTGTTGAGTTGTATGAGTTCTTTACATATTTTTGATATTATCAGATATATGATTTGAAAATATTTTCTCCCATTCAGTAGATTGCCTATTTTGTTGATGTTTTCCTTTGCTGTGCAGAAGCTTTTTAGTTTGATATAGCCCCAACTTGATTATTTTTGCTTTTGTTCCTTTGACTGTTGGTATTAAGTTCAAAACATTATTGCTAAGACCTGTGTCAAGGAGCTTACTGCTTATGTTTTCTTCCAAGAGTTTTATGATTTCAGGTCTTACATTCAAGAATCAAAGCCATTTGAATTAATTTTTGTGTATGATGGAGGATGGTGATCCACTTTCATGCTTTTGCATGTGGCTGTCCCATTTCCCCAACACCATTTATTAAAGAGACTGTCCTTTCCCCATTGTATATTCTTGGCTCCTTTGTTGGAAATTAATTGGCCATATATGTATGAGTTTATTTCTAGTCTCTCTATTCCATTCCATTGGTCTGTGTGTCTGTTTTTATGCCAATACAATACTGTTTTGATTACTATAGCTTCGGAATATATTTAGAAATCAGAAAGTGTGAAGCCTCCACCTTAGTTCTTCTTTCTCAAGATTGCTTTGGCCATTAGGATCATTTACGGTTCCATACAAATTTTAAGATTGTTCCATTTCCATGAAAAATGCCATTGGAATTTTGATAAGGATTGCATTGAATCAGTAGATTGTTTTGGGTAGTATGGACATTTTAACAATACTAATTCTCCCAATCCAATACAGTTGTTTTTATTTGTACCTCAGTGAGTTAGTTACTATTCTTTTCTGGGAGAATAATGATTACTTGAAAAGTTAAGAGAATTTCTATACTAGAATAGTCATGTTTTATTCATTTCTTCTCCAGATCTCTTGATAGAAACACTTTTTTTTTCTTCTGCAAAAATAGTAAACTTCAAAGCTACATAAGTTAGAAGCTGCAAATAACACAGGTATCACCTGTCTACCTTCATCAATCCTACCCATAAATTAGCTTATGAACAAGGTCCTATTCTCAGGGATTTTTCATGGTTACAGGAAAGTCAGTTACAAAGTATAGACCTATGCCTAAATCCAGTTCTCCTATATCCTAGGAAATTTTGACACATGAGATCTCTTTCCTTCTTAGACAAGCTGATCAATCTTGTAAGAGATTATGGTAAGAGAAAGCCAGTCGTATATGTCACATGTGTATGCGTGTGGTTCTACCAAGTGGTATGAAAAATAACACTCATATCTGGTCCTTGCATATTTACTGTCTTTTGTTGTCCCAAAGATACAAGATGGCTTAATTTAACCATTTAGTCTAACTACAAAGAGCAAATAAGAACTGTATTTGTCCTTTTTATTCCATCTAGAATTTCTTGATACTTACTGGCTGGCCTGGTTCACCAATGCCAATCGGTCCTGGAGCCCCTGTTCTTCCTTCCTGACCTCTTTCCCCCTAAAAGAAAGAAATAATCAAATGAAGGTTTGAGTTTTTAAATAAAGAATAAACATACCACAAGATACTCTGGAGATTTCAACAAAAATAATGGCAAAATAGTCAAACTTTTCACATTCATAAAGATAAAAAAAATTCTGGAGGAGGAAAAATGGTTTGAATTTAAGTGAACACTACTTTTAGCTTTCAGAAGCTATTGTGTAGTATTTGGCAGGATAGACTGTATTCGATTCATTTTTGGTTACGGAGATGACCAAGCAAACAATGCTTGTGCTGTTCCCTGCCCCCCTTGCCACCATCCTGGAATGTTACCCACTCTGTTCCATTTTACCTCTCTTTTCAATTCTATTTCACACTTGATCTCCTTCAGAATCCTTGTCCGATAACTCTGCCAATATAAACTCCACTTTCTCTAGAGTCTCAATATGCTTATTGTTTAAATACCATCCATGGTGATACTTGACTTCATTAGAAGTGCACTGTTTTGTGCTGCTCTCTGTTTTATTCCTGCAACAAAGTCTTATTGTCCCAATGACATAGAAAAGCCATTTAAAATAAGCACTTTTGCTCTGTGACATCCTACATGATGCAGAGCACTCCAGGGTGTTGGATGTTCCAGTACTTTCTAGTTCCCTAAAAACCTTTCTATCAACACTTACTTGTTCAGTGTTGTGGTCCTTCTGGTTTCTGCCCTTCTATGCTTCTTTAGTGTGAGAAGATGATAGTTTATGTGTTAAGATGCTTCACATCCCAATAACAATTTTGCATGTTAACATTTACATTCCATGAAATTAATAGAACTTGATGTACATTGGCAATAAGGTGGGTATTTATTTGGAGACAAGACAAATTTTTCATGCCAATCAAATAAAAAATACATTGATTTTTCTTGTGGTAACTGCCCCTGCCTGGAGCACTGCAGTTTCCAAGAACCTAGACTGTAAGTACCTTCTGCAGGCAGCCTCTTTGTATCTAGAGGGTAAGGTTGAGTGGATTCAAATCATAGCTTCTCCAGCCCAACAATAAAATTAATACTCATAAATAGGGAAAAAGACAAGAATCTTTACCTTAATTCCTTGCTGTCCAATACCAGGGGCTCCTGGAGGACCATGAGGACCAGGGGGACCTGGTTCACCCTACAAGAAGAAACAGTTATATTTTAGGTCAACTCAACAGTATTTGTTGAACAGCTCTTAGAGCATAGTGCTGTGGTAGGAGTTTTGAGGGCAACAGTGAAATCTAGGACACAGTCACTGCCCTCAAAGTGTTTATAATCCAGCTGGAAGGACAACAAAGACTCAGGGTTGAATTAACCACTGAACACAGTAGTCACAATGTCTAGGGTCCATGAAAATGTTTCCATTTTAATGTTTAAAATCAGAATACAAATTAAAAAAAAATAATGAATCTATGACAATAAATTCATTCTGGATTAAATTTGTCTTTATCCCAATTCAGTTGTAATGTATAATTTTTAGCTTTTTTTTTTTTAATGGAAGAAGAGGCCCACAAAAGCAAACGTTTTCAGGATGCATGTTGCACTGCAGCCCTCACTTGTTGTTCAGCAAGTCTTTATTATACGCTTCTGACAGACACATTTGTCTCCTACCCAATGATCATCCCCTGCCCTCTTTCCTTCCCTGCTATTGGAACTCTGATCTGTTCATGTCAATGGAAAGCTGTTCTTTATACTCAGGGTCACAGGATGAATAATAATTGTTTTAATGCAAATCTACCATCTCCTGTTCCTTTGCCACTGGTTGGTTCTTTGGCTCAGTACCAACCAATGAGATGTGGTGACATTATTAGGTGCAAAGAGAAAAGATTTTGCCCCTGCCTCTTCTTTCCTACTTGGAGATGCGATAGGTATCTTGTAAATTTGAGGCAGCCAATCTCTTGGCTGAATGCCAACCATTGAAGAGGACCATGCAGAAAAACGTTTTTAAGTGCCTGGCTCCTGGAAAATCTCATTGAACTTGATCAAACAAAACCTCATTGAGCTACCCACCTTCAAACCTTCTGTTTACTAGAAGGGGCTATTGGTTACAATTTCTTTTTTTAATTTGTTTCTGTTTACAGAAATAACATACCTTCATTATAGGAAATTCACCACATATTGAAAAGCATACACACATAGAAAATTTTAACTTATCTGTCTATAGCTACTATTAATTTCTGGGGCATTTCCTTCTAGTTCTTTATGCACACACATACCTCTAATTTATGGGAAGGAAGGTTTCTGAATACTGTTGTGTTTGAGTTAATGAATACTTGCTATTTAAAATTTCATCCAACTTACAGATTTCTCTCTTCTCTTCAACCTTGTATTAATTAACCGTAAAATGGGACAAGAATTTGAAACAATCCTTCTCCAAACTGAGGGAAACAAAAGAATTTTCACCAATGTTAAAGCCTCAATTTTCCCTGGAGGCTTGTGATTTTTGAAGGGGACTCTTTAGTGACTAAAGCAATTTCTATTGATACGGTAGAGGCCTTACTTTAAGGAAGTCTATGGACTTTAATCAATTGTAAAGGGGGGAAAGAAGAGACAGGAAGAAGGGTCAGAGTCAAATCAGCCCCCCAAAAGATAAGCCCAGGCTCAAAATCATAACAAAGAAAACCTGTCTCAGAATCAGTTGATTGTGAGAGTTTACGATGCTTTGGCATTTAAGTGGCTTGTATCTAAAGGTATCTTCCTTCAGTTCATCCTTGTAATAAGTCAATCTGGCAGAAAAATAAACTTGCATTTTTCCATTAAAATCAAAGTTTTACGTATTTTTCTATGCATATTAAATTTTCTGGAGCAGCCAGATAATTGCCATTCTTATTTTTCACATGTTCTTGGCCATGGAATTTCTCCATGTATAATATCAGATTTGAAGCTGTCTTCTTGATATCAAAGTTTGATTTAAGTACTAGAGAATATTCCGTTTCCTAATGTAGATTCAAAATTTTCATTTCAAAGAATCTTTTCCCTACAACTTCTTGTGCTACATACATCCTTAACCGTGTGAATGGGTGACAGCTTCCGTCACTCAGCAAAGGAATAGCAAGCATTTACTATGTGGACAGTAATGAAGTAAATATAAAAAAGTTTAGGACATAGTGCCTAAACCCAAAGGACTAGTTTAAGAGGTAAAACACACCATTAAAATAATAATAACATAAGGCCTTAAGTTCCCTTTTTCTATTCATTCCCTGCCCCATTTATATTTGTTTGGTTCTAAAATGGATCAGAAGGCTTTTAAATATTATGTTATGCTATATTACTTTAATTATATTATATTATACTGTATTATATTCATAGTATATATTATTATATTATATTATATTATATTATATTATATTATATTATATATTATATAATTATATAATATTATATATTATGTATCACTTTTCTGTAAGTTTGATGTAAAATAAATAAGAGCACAGGTTGGTGAGAAGGTTTCCTCTAACTAGGGGCAAGGGATTGGTTCCATTGTTAACTTGAAATGTGTGTATCAGGAAAATCAATAGAAGAGCGACTATCTTACCCTGAAACCCATGAGTTTCCTTTAGCCTTGGTCAAGTACCCATAGCAACTGAGCAATTTCTCTATATTGCTTTTTTTAGGGAAGTTACAGGGATCTGAAGGTTATAAAGGAATCTCTTTCCCTTTCCTCAAGACAGCTCAGTAGCAACATATCTTCACATTTCAGTTGCGTGAATTTACTTTTCAGGAGTTCAGCACCTCCACATAGGCCTGCAGACCAGCATTGGCCTACAATTAATGTTTATCCGTTTCATACTTCTCCTTCCCCTTTCCTACAAAGTTTCCTGAGGTGGTAAAGAAAGTGGTCCTGATTGTAACATAGCATTGCTGGGTAAGAGAACAGGAAGAGAAGAATCATTGAGAATACTCACAATGATTTTCTGGAAATTCACCAAGGCAACATAGCCCTGGTAAGCCTCCAGGCTTGATTCCTTTTCTGCCATTATTTCTACCACAACCTTCACCAATAAGCACAAATACACAGAGAAAGGTTGAATGGCCTCAGTACTACTTGTTATTTCTCAATTTCACTTTCTTTGACCATCAGAGGCATATACAAAGAAGATTGAGTTAAAGTGGATAGCCCTGGAGGTGGTCTGTTTCACATGACTTTCATATGAGTGTAAGCATGTGTAGGGGCATTGAGGAGGCTGGGTAAAACACTTCAGTCTTTCTCAGAAATTAAGGATGCTAGGAGCACCTGGGTGGTCCAGTTGGTTAAGCATCTGACTTTGGCTCAGGTCACCATCTCGAGCCCCACACCATGATGGCTCAGAACCTGGAGCCTGTTTTGGATTCTGTCTCTCCTTCTCTTTCTGTCCCTACCCTGCCTGCACTCTGTCTTTCTCTCTCTCTCTCAAAAATAAATAAACATTAAAAAAAATTTTAAAAGAAAAAGAAATTAAGGATGTCTGTGCTATGGCCCTCAACATCGAAGGAAGCCAATGTTTAATAAAACCTAGCATTTCTAAGCACTGCCCTGACACTTTATATACATTATGTCACTTAATCTTCTAACAATTTTAGGAAATGGGTATTTTTCCCTATTTTATAATTTAGGATATAATCACTACTTATTAATCAATTTTTCAGTATGCATAGAATCACAGAAAAAAAAAACATGGCTTTTTTCATTCGGTCTAGTTGAATTCTGGCTCTATAATTTACTAACAGTTTGAGCTTTTGCAAGATCTCCATATGCAAAATGAGGATAATTATATCTACCTTGCAGAGTTATTGAGAGGATTCAAGATATTATCTATAAAACATCTAAGTCATAACTAATTATATGATCACTATTTAATATGTGTAGATTCAATCGTTATTCATCAGACTTTCACTGAGTACCACCCTCATACTGAGTACCCAGTTACATAATTATAGACATAAATCAGATCACACCTGTACTTTGCAGACACAATCTGGCTGGAGAGGCAAATGAATATAAAAGAAAATATAAGCATGTGAATTAGCTATAATAAAGATATTAACAGAGGATGATAGACTCTGTGACACAAGTGTTTAAGTCTGCCTTAAAGAATGAGAAAAGTTTCAAATAGTAGAGGAGATATTTTCTCTGAACCAAAAAAAGGTAGGAATCATATCTAATCTGGCATAAAAGAAGAGGAACAAAAGTTCAGGAAAAGGAAAGTGTTTGAGGCACAAAATGATGTGAAATGTTCTGGGGACAATAAACAGCTCTGTGGGCTCAAACGGACAGAAATAAGGCAACAATAGGGTCACTGTCTAGAGTAGAGCCACCCACTAGAAATATACAATGAGCCCCATATGTAATTTTATTTATTTTTTCACATATGTAATTTTAAATTTTCTAGTAGTCACCTTAAAAAATTAATAATAACAGCAGCACCTGGGTGGCTCAGTCAATTAAGCATCCTCCTCTTGATTTCAGCTCAGGTCATGATCTCATGGTTCGTGAGATCAAACCCTGCATCAGACTCCATGCTGGGCATGGAGCCTGCTTAGGATTCTCTCCTCTCTCTCCCTCTCTCTGCCCCTCCCCCACTCACATGCATGCACATGCTCTCTCTCTCTCTCAAAATAAATGAATAAACTTTTAAAAAAAAGTAATAACATATTTTAGTTAATTCGATATATCTAAAATATCATTTCAGTATGTGATCAACATAAAAACCTTATCAATGATTTTATTTACTATTTTTAACACATGTCTTTGAAATCCTATGTATATTTAACAATTATAGCACATCTCCATTCAGACTAGCCATATTTCAAGGGTTCAATAGCCACATGTGACTACTGTATTGAACAGGGTGGGTTTAGTGACTAAGCAGGCCAGAAGCTTAGGTCAGAACCATGGAGAGTACCAACATACAAGTTGGGTGGGAATGGAAGAACATAGAAATGTCTTGTGGGGAGTTGAGGAAGGCAGTCTGAGAAAAAGAAATGGGAACTCACAAACACAGTGTGATAGAAGTCAGGAAAGAGAATTTCAAAAGAAACCCATCATTTCCAAAGACAAACTCATACTCTTCCCCTCACAGACCTGATCACCTTCCAGCATTCTCTATCTGGGAAGAGCACCACAATCCCTCCATGAGTCAAGCCAAACAAGGAGTCATT